TTTTTTTTTTTTGCAACTTCATATTAGTATTATCAGGAGATATTTAACAAAGGTAAGAAAGCAATACAATAAAATTGGCTATACCCTGTATATATATATATATATTAAATATATATATTATATAAGATAAAACATATCACTACCACATTTAGATGACTAGCCGTTGGGGTAGTACAACAATTTCTTAAGATCGATAATAAGGCACATCCGTCATATCTATTATTATTATCTAAAAATAGTGGTATTCTAAAACTAAAGAGACTGTAAATTTACTTACACTATGTGCTTGCTCCGAATCAGACATGTTGCCGAGTTCCGTATCATAAGAAGAAACACACAGTCACAGAGCAGTAGTAAATTAAGATGGTCTTATGTTTCCAATCGCCACTACCGTACCAAGATTATGTCCCCTTGTAGTTATTGATTTCTTAGAATATGTCTAGCTTACGTTTGCTAGCAACTGATCACAGCCCTTTGATTTACCCCACTTGCCGATGTTGAGACTTCCTCTAACACGATAGCTCTCCTTATTTAAATGACAAAAGAAATCCGTCGTCCACACTCTAACGGAATAAGTATTAACTATAATACAATTTGTTGTCATTAGCAACGTCAGTTAGAGCCAGTTATCTCCCCTGATCATTCAAAGACCCAGTCACAAGTCTCACAAAAGATGAACATAAACAACTTTAAACAGGGGGGGGGGGCGTCCATTAATTACGTCACAAAATAGGGGTTGGGGGTTGGAAATGTTTGACATTTGTTGACAAGGGGGGAGGGAGGGGGTTTAGATTAGTTGACGTCAACAATCATGTTTTCTCTAGCAAAAATTAAATCTTTAAAACTGACTGGTTATTACATTATTTTTAAAAATTTATAAATGTAAATGAGCGTAAATAGTCATATAATTGTTAGGTTAGTGCAAGGGAAGTCAAAAGTTGGCCTCTCTTCACCTGTAGATTCTGTTGCAGGTAGGGAACAAGGACAAGGGTCGAGTGCAGTCAAGATGCATGCTATAGAGCAGGAATGCGATATTTTGAGAATGGGGTAAATAAAAAATGAGTACCGGTAACCATAACATCGCTGCTTGAACGGATTTGCAAAATCTGTAACATCTATTTGCATCTATACATCCGAATAGCACTGAGTCAAAATGGACCCAGAGACGCCGCCATTCGCACCCGGGTACCATTAGACTCAAGCTACTCAGATGTCATTTGTGGTTGTTTAATTTAGTTTTTTTAATCCCAACCTCTCACTTCTGGTACCCGGGTACCGTTACGAATAGTCGCAGCCTGTACATATTATTTAGTTGAAATAGTTTTTGTTTCAAGTACCTTACCGTATTTTTTTTTTTTTGACATCGTCTCGTCAGTGTGACAATGATGTAGAATTCACTAGCAGAAACCACAAGGAATGGCATGTATCTTTAGGAGGATAATTTTGTTCATTACAGCTAGTCACCTTTCTCCACGCACTTGGATAACCCAAGGGAACATCATGAACGATCATGTTCGGATGATACAGCTTGGGACCAGAAGCATCGCAGTATTTCAAGAATGTTCAGTGTAACACCACCACTACGGGACGCCATCTGAGCTTGAATTCAACGTTTTCCTTCTCTTCTTACTCTAAGATTGATGAACGCAGTCCTCCCCAGATGTCTCTAAGACTTAGATGGGTCGCCATCCAAGGTTAACCAGACCCATCCACCAACGATGCCTATGAAGTTCTTTTTTACCGATACAATCTAGGCATTACTGGGAATTGACTCGGTAGTCAGACACCATCGAGTGAACATGAATATTAGTGCGTTTGAAATAAAATGATTTACGAGATACCTAGCAATATCCATTTGCAATTAGTTTTAATTGCATGTGGGGGGGGGGGGTGTGTTGTGGCCTATTCCCAATAACCCGGTAGTTAATCGTTACTGAAACTTTTTTTTAGGGGGGGGGGGGGTGTGTTGTGGCCTATTCCCAATAACCCGGTAGTTAATCTTTACTGAAACTTTTTTTTCACTCTAGGATTAGGATTATTTACCCGTATCGGTACCAACTTTTGTGTTGCTACCAAATGACCACCTTCAAATAAAAAATTAGGATTTAAAAAAAAAAATTTAACATGTACTTAATGCAATTAAATACCCATTAAGGTGCTACTGGTAGAAGGATCGATACATACCAGTATTGTACCACGTATCCCAATATATCATTCAATCCCTGTCACTTAAGAAATTTCGTAGTATGAATTCCCAGCCAAAGGGAAATAACTCTGCACTAAGACTAAGAGCAGGGTTGTATCCCCCAGTATCAGAAAAAAATTAACAAATCTATCTTGCCACATAAATACATGAAATAAAGTGCACTGCACACAGAAATGGTTGTTCTTTATGAATAATTATCATTGGATCATTTTGTATGATATTGATTTGTGTAAGATAAAATTAAATGACAGAATTACAAAAATGAGGAACAAAATTGAAGGGGAAAAAATGTGTACCGGTACCTTAAAATATTTATTTTAGTTTTACTTAAGATTATTGTGAAAGGCTGCAAAGCAGTGTCCTTTAATTTACACAAATGAACTTTGCAAATGAGGCATCCATTCGATGTTTCTATTTGTAGGGGTCTTGTGACGTTTCTATGGGTCTATTTGTAAGGGTCTTGTGATGTTTCTATGGGTCTATTTAGTAGGGGTCTTTGGCTTAGCTCTTAAACATTCATACCGATAGCATGTTTTTTTTTCTGCCATGCAATCTACTTGGCTGATGCATTGTGTGGTCAGCTGTGTTAGTACCAGTGGCTGCAACTGCAAGGCTGTCAATCACATTACGGTGCCTTGCAGTGCAGATGATCCAGCCATGAGCTGCTGCATTAGCTCAAGGCAACAGTCCAAATGTGTTTTTGAATTTTGGCCAGGATGCCGTTGAGTAAACTGTTTTTTGTACACAATGAGAATGCATTGATTGTGGCAACCTGACCTGAAGCAGAAACCATAGAAGCGACCCTCCACCATTTCCTACTTCTTCTGCCAATGGGTTAATAGGATCTTAACTGATCATGGAGATCAACACCACTCATACCCTTGTCATTGTAGACTGGTGTTGGTTTCTGGATATCAACACGCCCAGTGGCTGTGTTTCGTGGTGTTGTCGACATAGTTGGCTGCGAATTTGTTGACAAAACCTGCACTGGCTTTTTAATTTTTATCATGAAAGAAACATGCGACTAGGTTTCCAATTTGCCTAAATCGCACTCCCGATTCAGTCACTGATTTTTTTAGCTTCAGGTTCTTGAGATCTTTTGGCCAACCTTTGCCAGAGGATCTATATATTTTTTTTGGCCGTTACGGGATTGAAGTGGTAGTCGCCGGATATGGCCTTACGGGATTGAATCGGTTAATTTACAAAACAGTACAGCGTTTAATATAATGACAGACCTGTTTACCCTCAAACTCTTAAAATCGTACAATATAATCACAAAATCGTTCAATACTGTATATTTATAGTAAAAAATAAACATACATTATATATGTTTACACCTCAAAATCGTACATTGTACGCCAAAATCGTAAGAGTAAACAGGTCTGTAATGACCAAAAAATGAATTTCAGTTCAAGTAGACTGGCACGGTACCGTATATGTAAATGAGCTTTGAATAACTTGCATTAGACTAAATGAAATGCAGTACAGTACAAGTAACGGGTATAAGTATAATTTGTCAGTTTTATACGATACTGATAAAAGTAGCAAATAGCGTGATAACCTCAGACTCGGGCCAACTTGGTATTTGTAATAAATTATACCCAATAATCAATTGAAATCTAGAACTGCTCCTAGTACTAACAAGATATGTTGACCTTATGCCCCAAGCTTGATATTGGGGAAGCCATGGTGGTAGGAAGGAGAGTCTTAGTAAAAGGTTATTTATAAGGCACAGCCAAACAGATGGTGTCAGGGGCCACAGAAATAATATCATCACTAACAACCTGGGCTCTAGCAGATTGAACAACTGCAGTCTTAAATGTTTTAGTGATGAGCTTGAATATAAGTAATACAACTCCTTCCTACTTTTAATCCACATTTTAATCAAGTTCATACATTGATATTAATTTAAGAATCAGTGCCTGCATGATCCCTCCAACTTAGCTAAATACTGATAACACCAATACACAATAACAAAAACAAACAAAGCAACATGTGAAACATCACAAATTCTTTAAATACAAAAGAGCAGTAGAGGATCATTTATTTTCAGTATTTATTAACAATTTCGCTCATTTGCCTGGTAGAATGATACCATCGTACTGGAAATAAAAAATATAATAAAGTTAATAACTTTCTGCAAAAGAAAAACATAACAAACATTTTTTTTAAATAAATATTCTACAACTTAAACTAAAATTAACTCAAAGACAAAATGAAAAAAGCATACATTGCCAGAAAATCTAATGAAAGACCCAACAGCAAACTAGCCAAAATGGTTAACATATTTTATTTGCTGGTTTATAGGACGCTGCAGTGTACAAAATGAACCCCGTTTTAAACACATATAAAGACACCCCAAATTTTTTGCATATTTTGAAAAACGCGTCTACGTCAGAAACAAATGGTAACTGACTGAACTGTTAGCTTTTATAAAACTGATACAACCACATGATATATCTTAGTATAAAACAATTACCTTCTGTTGGAACCACTTCATACACTCATCTTTACTGATTCTGTGTTTAGCACCAATGGCACTCTTTCTTCTTCTTCGCTGGCTGATATTGAAGCCTGTACAATGAACCAAATCACTTTACTTTACCATAAATGGGATTTACATTTGCTTAGATCTTACAAAACAGTATTCAAAGAAATAGAGAACCTGAATATTAACTCATTCCCTCCGGCAGTGCTACTTCCGGACTTAATTTATTTTCCTGAGAAAAGGGAAGCAACCCAGTTTTGAAATTGATTTACATTTTTAAAATATTTTTTTAAGTTGCTAAATATACAAAAAATGAATAAGGTTTAATATAAATATAACATTAGCGTTGAAAAAATAACGAACAATGGCCAAAAAATCGATTTTCGGCACCTCGGACGAACACATGCTACATATAGATGCGCCGTACTAAAGCACACATAGTTTTAAAGTGAAACAAGATAAAAACTTCCGGTTTCTAAATTAAAATCACGCAGAAATCATGCCATAGCCGGAAGTCTCGAGGGATGCGAGATTTCATTGCTATTTTTAACTAAAAAAATAAGAGAGGTGTGTCGCTATGCGCCGGGACGCATCAGGAGGAACCCCCAGAGCACGCATTTAGTCGCAACCTTAAGCAAAACCTATGTATAACGAGTCGTCAATTTTACAGAGGAAGGGAGCAACACCAGTTTCCCTGAGAAGCGCTTGACATTAGAGCTGAAGGGAGCACATGGTGGGAACCACTTAAGTATAGGATGTTGCTAAAAACAAATGTGATAATGTTGACTACATACCTGGGCGTCCAAGAACAATGTAGAAGTCCATACCATAGATGCCAATGCCGGGGTCGTACTTGATACCCAAATCAATGTGTTCCTGAATACCAAAGCCAAAGTTTCCAGTGGCTGAGAAATTGTTCTTTCTCAACTCATACTCACGGACCTATAAGCAACAAGTGGAAGAACTTGAAATTAATATTTATGGTGAATTCTTAGCAACCAAGTCATACATCAGAATATGGCCAGCAAAATGTATACAACACCAGGCTCTTTAGTACAATTTAAACTCAACCCTTCTGTTCTTAAGCTATATTTCTGAACAAAGGGAATAAACTCAGTTTTAAGCTGCTGATTATGAACATTAATAAATTAAGAATATTTTATATGCAGCCAGAAATTAATTATGTTTAATGAAAATAAAACAATGGAGTGCACAAATAACAAGCTGTGACCAAAAGATCTAATTTTGCAAATCAGATGTTAAGATATAGATGCACAGCACAAAAGCACACATTGCTTGAAAGAGTAACAAGGTAAAAAAATATCAGTTTCTTAATATTGAAATCACGCCATACACAAAGGGCTTGAGTGAGATTTCATATTTAAATCAAAATATGAGGTGTGTGGCTACTCACTAGGGCGCAATGATTGGGAATGAATTAATATTGAACAGTTTACAGATTTAAAAGGTTGACAACAAATAATGGATTGTTAAAAAGGAAACTATAGATTATTAGTATATATAAAAAATATAAGTAAAATGTACCCTGTAAGTAGTAACAGACATAACCACACAGGTTTGCCGAGTTGCATAACAGGAATTATTATAGCACATCAGATAAGTCAAGCTTCAGCCACCCAAGACTGAAGCTCGTGCCAGCGTGCAAACTTTCTAATAATTTCTATAAAATGATTACTCGTAATGTTAAATTTGGTGAGATAGCAGCGTGGCAGCCATCTTAGTTGCAGCGACCCGCTAACTTATGTCCTAAATGCAGACCTGTTTACCTTCCAACTCTTAAAATCGTACACTATCCTCACAAAATCGTTCAATACATTATCTGAATAGTAAAAAAACACAGTATATATAATATTTAGGCCTCAAAATCGTACATTGTACGCCAAAATCGTAAGAGTAAACAGGTCTGTAAATGTATCCCTTAACCTAACCTGAACCCTAAACCTATCCCTAACCTGGGTTTAGACCCTATCAAAACCAGGGACAAAACACGCAAAAAATGCCATTAGAATGCTATCACTCCAAATTAGCCCTCATAATATTGAAAAGTGATTCCAACCTTAAGCCCCTTTTCCAAGATTTCCTCTGCTTTAGCTCCACGTACAGTGCAATGGACAGCAATCTTTTCATTACGCCTGATACCAAAGGACCTCACAGTGTAGCGAGCTGTTGAAAAATTATTAAATTAGTCTAATCAAAGTGAAATAGATTTTTTTTAAAACTATAAGCTCCAAAGACCAATGTCATAATCAGTTATATAGCATATTTCTAAATGTCAGCCCATTCGGCATTGGTAAATAAAATAGCAAAAAGGCGGTAAAAGTGCAGTTCAGGTGCGTATATTATTTCTGTTTGAATCTCTTATTTTCCCGTGTAAACTTATGTTAATTCTTTATAAAAAGTATTTTAAAAGTTATATACCATCTTTTTATTGGAATACAACAACAATTTAACAAATTTTACGAGATAAAAAAAGTACATTTTTATGAATCTTTCGTGTTTTACGGAGCCATTGTGGTAAATCAAGGATAACTCTTCTGTCTTTAAAGATACTTTATAAAAGTTGCCCAATTGGATGAATCTTGTTAAAATAAAAGATGTATTTATTTTATAACTTTACTATCAACGATAACCGGAGTCGCCCGGGGCTGCATTCAGACAAAAACATCTGCTACGTCCTTTTAGTTCACATTGCTATTAAAGGAAATGTCAACAACAAAACAACAACACTACAGTAAAAATAATAATAATTAATTTGTCTCCTATTAAAAACAATTAAAATAACTTATGTAAACCTTTCGTTTTTCCTGTTTTCCGATGGCACCCGGAAGGATCATGATGGGATCCCGAACCCGATGTGATTCCGATAGAATCCTGGTCACGGTGGGATCCTGATCCCGGTGATATCCATTTTCGGTGGTATCCCAATCCGATGGGATCCCGTTTCGGTGAGATTCTGATCCTGATAGGATTTTGATCCTAGTGAGATCCTGATCCCGGTGGGATCCCTATCCAGTGGGTTACCGATCCTGGTGGGATACCGGTTACGGTGAGATCCTGTTTCGGGTATATGCAGATCCCGGTAATTATGGGGAGCTCACACACTTGACATACGAACCCAGCTTACAAGCCACATTGCAATTGTTACAAGCGCCTTAGGAGAAATTCCAGTTGTATTAACGTTATTTGTTGCCACACAAGGTGCGCGTATAAATCAAATGCTGCACCATTAAAAATGCCTGTTGCATCAACAATTTTAGTTATTGTTTCTTGGTCGTCCTGCAATTTTAAACAAAATGATCCTACAACCAGCAATACCTCAAAGCCAAAACGAGTCCGTCTTATAATAAAAAAAAAATAATCACTAGCCCTCACTTTACTCAGCGCAAATCAGTCACCAGTAATAAGCGCATTTGCATACGAAAAAATAGGAGGGGTGCTCAAATTAGAGCTGACCAATCACGGACAGCGTATTAGCAGCCTTCAGGGTGATCAGCTTCACACCAGGTCCAGGACAATGATGACGTGTGTGTCCACTGCTTAGTCAGTGATCCCCTTCTAATCCCCCCCCCCCCCCCCCCGACTTCAAAAAACAACCCCTATATTCCGAGCTCTATGAGAGGGGAAAAAAAGAAAGTTGGCGGGGGGGGGGGCTTGTGCGTAATGAAGAATCTAGTATTTCATTCTTTTTTAGGTTTGAACATCCCTCAGGACTCCCAAAGGCGGCTGAATTGAACACAAGGGCTCAGGACTCCTTAATTATCACGTTGGCCTTGGTAGGAAAGTGTTAACAATAATACTCCCCTAAACCCTAATAAAAAGGACAGGCATTGAATTTATAGATAAAGACTTTCATTCCATAACAATGCCTATTCTTCTTCAAATTACAAAAGAAAAAGCAAAATACAAAAACATAAGAACTCACCTTTGGAGAATACAGGTGTCTGCCCAGTAAGCTGTTCCAACACTTTTGATGCTCTTGTCAATCTGTCACCAGATTCACCGACGCAAATGTTAAGGCAGAGTTTGCGAATACGCAACTCTTTCATAGGGTTCACCTTTCCCTTTTCTTTATCCTGAGTTTGAAGGAGCATTATGATATGGTGTTAAAAAAATACCAAGTGAAATAATGGGCACTTTAAAAGCAAAATGTGTAATATCGAGAGATAAAGATTTTTCGTTGTATTGTTTTTATTGTTTTCCAGAAGGTAATTTATGGAATAACTCTTATTATTTGAGTTTTAAATTGAAAATAGATAAGATGTTGATAGATTTAAAGAAGAGTAACAGTATTGAGATACAAACCGCCATGTTGAAAACTGTAGAAAGGAAGTAAGTACGTCAGACATACGAAATCAATGACGTAAAAAAAGTGAAATAGTCTTCATTGGATTTTTCTTTAAAAAGAAAAAGTGAACATCTTTGACGAGAAAATAATTGTATTAATTCATTTACGTTAAGATTATATTTAATTAAAATAAAAATTAAAGTCGATTGTTTTTAATTTACGACATTAGATCTAGTGGTCCTTTTCTCTGCATAGCAACGAAGTTAGTACATCCTGCAGTAGCAGCTCTTAAAATCAATTACAGTTGTCGGAAAAAATAACTCACAATGGCGACCTCCAGCTCTGAAGACGACCAAACTGGTCCATCAGTCGATTCAAATAATATGGAAGAGCGTATCCAAGCTCGTCGCATAAGAATAGCGAAGCGAGCTGAAGCTGCTAGAAAGTTAGTCAGTCAATAACTCAGGATACTAATGAAAGAAGTGGCACTGACAGTGTTAATTTAAAATATTAATGATAATAATTAATAGTAATACATACTACAAATTACCACAAAAAAAAATTCAAGGCTAAAAGGAAGATGGGATGCCACGATGTCTTTTGTGTGTTTATTAAAGTTGCCGTGAATTAGGGTTCAGGTTAGGTTTAGGGATACATATCATTTAGTCATTTAGGGTTCAGGTTAGGTATAAGTATAGTGATACATTTAGTAGGGACCTTGGTATCGACCGGAAATACCCGAAAAACGGGTATCGTTTTTTCGTTGTCATAATGGCAACCTCTACTTTTTAATTTACTGAGGGTATCGTTTCGCGTTTTATAATAGATTTTTAGCATAATAATATAATTTTACTTCCGCCAATTACTTAAAACTTAAAACCAACATCTTTCCTGTTATATTAAGAGTTCGTTTGACTTTTTTGGTCAAGATTAAAGCTTTGAAAATTGAAGTTAAAAATTGGTCAACTTCACTCAATAATAACTTTTTTTTAAATTCGCTCAATAATAAAAAATCTCCGCTCTTATAATTTTTAGGTTCATTTACAACATATCCAAAATTCATGAGTGTAGACCATGGGTGGGCTTCAAAAACGAATTTCCAAGATGTCATTTTTTTAGGCTATGTATTTGTCATCATGGCCACCGTGCTTGTCTGCTTATTTCCAAATATCGATAGCAGCCGTGGGGTAATTAATAATTCATTAAGTTGGTTATCCAGAGTGTAAATGGGAAATATAACTAATAATAAATCATTTTATATAAATAAAAAATGTTTTATAACATAAATAATTATTATTGGCTTATAGTGCTTTTAATTTTTGGGTTGGTTGCCATGGACCTGGCTGACACTGACATTGGATTGATAAGCTCTTGTCTTTGACTTAGATAGTGATAGGCTTAGTAAAAGTATTATAATAGTAATTATACTATTATAAATGATTTAAGGCGTGGGATAAATAGCTTTTATTACAACTAATATATTTATCATTTATATTAGTTTATATATTTATAGATAAATATGTATTTGTATATATTATATATATTTATAATGACCATAGGCTATAGCCATAGGCCTTGTATACATATAGTATAATACAAAGTATACTATATCAGGGTTAAGCCCTAGACCCAACCCAACTAATTTGTAGGGCCTATTATAATAAATTATATTTGATGATATTTTAGGATATGTAATAAAATTTTAATGAATATTGTGATTCTTACTTAAGGCATAAACTAAGTAAAACATTTTAAAATATTCACTTACCTTTGGTATTGAAATATCATATATTTAATCACATATCACAATATTCCACAAGAGAATTATTATATAATCCTCAGTTTCTCAAAGAAAAAACACACTTTCTGGCACAACAATCCAAGAATTACTTAAGATATTATTACTAAAGAACAATTATAAAAACCTGTACTTACCTCTAGTAAATGAATAGAACTTATTTTATTAACAGCTAAAGTCAAAGTTGATTCTAATAATACATGTTGATTTGTAAAACAAGATTACAAACTTAAAATAAATGACATGCTGATTGTTTTTTCATACTCATAGGAATAATATAATATATTATAATATACATATGTAGAAAATGGTAAAATAAAAAGTGTAATTGTCAATTTTAAATAAATGAAACAAATAACCCCTTTATTATTTGTTTATGCTTATAAATGCTAAACAATTCCACAGAAAATCTGCAATTAATATCTAAAGAATATTATTATTATTATGATTTTTGGGAAATTAAAAACAAAATTTTAATTAATCAAAATTACAAATAAGTGATGAGTCAGCATTTTATACATTTTTTTTTTTTTTAAAATAGGCAAATAATTAAGATTTTAAAAAAATATTTGCTGGACATTAACAAAAACTAACATATATTTTGTGGCTTTATTTAGAAGTACTCTTATTTAACTATGTTCCCTGTAAATATTATATTTTTGTCTCATTTTATAATAAAGTTATAGGCGTTTTAAAAAAAAGCAAAATGAGGGTCACAAAATGTGGAGGAAAATCCCATAATAAAAAAGTGGTTTTGAGGTCCCTACTAAAAAATTCATAACTTTTGAACCACTTGAGCTAGAAAGTTGATCTTGGTGTTTTTGTAATCTATTCTCCAGGCTCTATACAGCTGTAGTATTTTTATATTTTTAAAAATGTTTTGAAATTTTTATCAAAGTGGCTACATTTAGGGTTAATTTAGGAATACATTTTAGGGTTCAGGTTAGATTTAGTGACAGAATTAACGTGTCTTGTCAACCAAGATGGTGGCCAATCATGGCATCCTATCTTCCAATTTACCAAGTTCAAATTTACAAGTGACAATTACAAGAATAGTCAGTCTATTATTATTTTAGTCTGATGTAATTAATGGCTTATTCCAGTGGTCAGCATCCTGTAGCTTGAGAAACACATGCAAGTGATAAATGCCACTGTTCTCATTTTGAATTATTGTCATACTATGAAAAATTTAATGAATAAAATTCTTTAGTAGGCCTTAAATCCCCTTATAACTATGAGTCATTGTCATAGTAATAAGGGGATTTAAGGCCTACTGAGCCTACTAAAAAATTTTATTAACCTTTTCGTTACCGTTGACATTGACGCGACGTCACAATCCCCCACATTCATTTACCATGGATGTCACATTGTCGTCATAACAGGGAGGCAAAGAACTTTTCTGAAATACCACGGACGTCAGGTCGACATCATATTTCAATGCTATATATTTCTTTATTCATTAATTTATAGAGAAGTTAATTTGCGAATCGGATAAAGAGTGAAAAATACAGGAAGTTTCATCTTTAAGTAATTTAATTGTTGAGTCAGCAAAAATAGATGCCCCAAAACCAGCTGTAAAAAATCAGTTAATTTAATTTTTACCCCTATATCTGTCCACTCTATAGTGCCATTTTTTAAAAATTTGCCTGGCATGTGGCTCAGAAAATTTTCTCTCAACAGATATAATTTATAAAATGGCACTTGATTGTTGCAGACCCCTTGCCTAGGACAATGTATACAGATAACTGTACTTATACTCTATAGCCTATAGGGACAATAAATATATTTATTATAATTTCATGGAGAATAAATTTATAATTAATCATACAAACAAAACAACTATAATACTAGATTAATAAGAGACGAAAAAATTGTGTCAATAGAACAATATGTAATAATTACTAATAAGTATAAATTAAATTTACATAATATCAATATACATATCCTACCTAAGTTTTTGTCTGGTTTTAGCACCCTCTCCTATATTTTTTCTGTTTTAGGTAGGATATGTATATTGATATTATGTAAATTTAATTTATACTTATTTAAATGTGTTTTGTTTGTTTGTACTGTTGAAGGCATGTGCCGAAACGTTTAATTGTGTATAATGTATAATTATTATTAAAGCTAACTCATATTGTTCTATTCTATTGACACAATTTGTTCGTGTCTTATTAATCTATTTTAAAGCTTTTGCAGCCCAACACTTTTTATAACTATAATACTATAATTTGATATGACTTTTAACAACTATTTAGACGTGCACACTAAGACTTCTAAGAGGTAGACATAAAAACTGAACTTTTTCATAATCTGAGGAAAGTAGGTTGGATTCTTAAATGCTACATTATACACTACCATGTTATTTACTGAATGGTCTTTACATAAAATTTTTTTTTACAGATTACTGTCAGGAGAACCAGATGAAGAAAAGACAGTGAAAGAGGAGATAAGTAAGAGCCGCAAACAAATTGAGGACAGTCGTCAGCGCTTGACTAAGTTGAAACAAGATGGCTTTGAGCTTGTGACTAATGTTAAGGTAGCTGGCGATGCCAGGGAAGCATCAAGGCGAGCAATTGATGAAGAAGCCAAACGAGTTAGGTCAGTTGAATATGTCTTGTTTACTTTGTAAGAGAAATTTACACTGAACCTTCTGAGGGTAAAAACATTATACTTAATTTTAGAAAGTGTATTCCTGAGCACAAATTTTTTACCTCTTTTTAGAAAAACTGTTAGTGTTGTGTCTAGGGATGTTAACATAGTTTTTTAGGCAAAATGATGATTAGTTGTAGAAATATGAATTTGAGCATATTTTTTAAAAAAGTATGCACATCCAAACACTGGTGCAGAAAGATGAGAAAGGAGGGGGCTGTCTATCCTGGGTGCACATTTTTGGTGGCACCATTTGTGGTCCACCATCTATTAGATGTGTATTATGTATGTTTAGTGGCTTTTGTTTGTAAATGAGGGGCATGGCAGCAAGTCAAGGATTGCCCCTTATGTAATAAACTCTTGATACTAAATGGCATTCATATTCAATTTCCCATTTTTTCTCACAGCAATTTCAGATTGACTTGATGATTATAAGACTGTTAGTTCAAGTTCATCTAATTTTAGAACTGACAATGAAAATCTTGTATATTTTCCATAAAAAGACCAATTAAAACTAGCTCAATACAACACATGGCCCTATGCAATTTGCTTTAGCCAAGGCATAATGTTGGGGTTTTTTTGGTGACATTTCAATAAGCTAATCTCTAGGATTTTTGGTTTCCATTCAATTTTTTGTTGTTTTTTTCTTTATCATTAATTAAAGATTTTTTTAAAGTGGCCATAACTTTTCTTTAATGTTTCTATATCTTGTCATGCAGAAAGGAAAAATTAGACAGTGAAGCTAAGTCAGCAGCTGAAAGATTTGATGAGGTATGTCATCAATTTATTGACCCCTTAATTACCACAAGATTTTGAATTAGTATTTCATTTGGACTTTAAAGAATTTTTATTGGCTGTTCACTAAATGTGAATGATCTTATTTTTAAGAGATAATCTAGTCAATGCACAGCTACTTACTATTGATTTATATAAAGTGACAAGTAATAATGTTCTTTCATTTATTATAAGTTAATAATTTATATACTTTTAATGAGACATGAGTTCAGGATTTTGTATGATGAAACACACTGTTATTATCATCAATATTGTGACCTCATGGTCACTGACCAGGACTTGGTCAGCAGCATTTCTCCTCCACTACACCACGATTTTTTAAATAACTTTTTAATATGCAAATAATGATTTTTTTCAATGTTATCAGATTACAAAGAAATGGGAGGTAACTCTACAGAAAGATGTTCCTCAAGTGCTCCATGACGTAAGAAACATTTAAAGGATTTCATTGATTTTCAACCAGACAATTAGTTAATAAAATAACTGAAGGTGTTTAAAAATTGTTGTGCACAGTTAATATCATGTCAGACAGCTAAAAGGAAGGCTGAAGTTTATAATTTTTAAATTACAAAAATATCTGCAAGATTTAACTCTAAATCTTTTTTTAGTGCAGATGCAACTGTCTGATGTTTTAATAAAAATTGAATACATGCAATAAAGTTTTCATATTTTTCTCTTTAGATGTTACTCCAGCAGAAGAGATCATGTGATGCAATGAATGATGAAAAAAATAAAATGATCACAGAACTTCAGCAGGTAGTTCACTAACTCCACCTTTTCTAATGTTTTTCGTGTTTGTCATCTCAAAAACCTTTATTTTTCCTGGTTAAGGTAAATTTAAAAAAAAAAATTTTTAATAAGCCAAAAGATAATAAAACTAAATTCTTTTAACATTATGACAGCCTGATTCATATAGTTAATTTGTAAAAAAATGTAATTGAAAACAGATTACCTTTAATAATAAAAAACGAAATACTATGTTGCAGTAGGAATGGGATACTTGTGATATCATGTGTGTACTAGATTGGTCAAGTTCTTTTACATGTTGTAATACATCATACTAGCACTGAATCAACTCAAGTCCTTTTTCATAAAAAATGCAACTTTAATGTATAATGTAAATTCACAGACTGTTACACATGTATAGCGCAGCTTGCTGTCAGAGAGAAATAAAACAAAACCTTCTTCCACAAAGTTCCTTTTACAGGCATGCATTGATTATAAGCTACTTCTTTCTGTCTATTCACCCATTTAACAGCTTCATTCCTCCCCAGGCATGCATATTCTTTCTCTTCCCAAGACATGCACTAAAATATACAGCCAACGATCTTTCTCTTTCTCCACTCCCAAACAATGGAGTTCTCTCCCATTACACATTCACAATACATTGACCATCCAATCCTTAAAAGCTGCACTCAAGAAACATCTATTCAAACTCGACTACTCCGGATCATTCTCACCCCCCTCTGACAGATAAACAATGCTCCATGCTGCTGGGTGCCGTCCATGGCTAGACAGGGGTAAATAATACTTGGGTGGGCGAGGTCAATATTTTTACAATGCTGTTTTAAAATGAATAATATTATGGAAATTATTTTTTAATGTCATTTTTCTTTTTACTAAATTTTATGTGAAGCGCAGTAAGCCTGGGGTACCATGCTATATAAGACTACTGCAATAATAATAATAAAATATCAATATTATATTGTGGATAAGAAATATTTTTTCTTTTATTTAGGTTCTAAAGTCAAAGGATGATTTGTATGTGAAGGATTTAAAGAAAATGGCAGAAGACATTGATCTAATGATAGAGAGAATGAATGATCAAGTCAGTCACATGATTAAAGCACAGCGAGAAGAATTAGAGGAAATTGAGGTGATTTTTTTTTAAAACTCCCACAAAATGCACATTATATGTCATGGAAAGTTAAAATAAAAATTTAGCTGCATTTGTTATCTACAGGGCGACGAGCTGACTCATGGTTATATAGATAAAATGATTTTTTTTAAAATTATAGCCACCTTATTTTATCATTATTTTCATTCTTTCATAGTATGAGTTGTTCCTGTCCCCTCAAATAAAATAACTCCAGACATAATAACATTAATAAAAATAAATAATAGCTCCATAAATTTTCCTTAATATAGTTGAATAAGATTTCTGTTTAACTCCATGACTCTTCAGCGAGCTTTTGTCATGGAGCGCAATGAGCTACTAGAACAGCAGAAGAAGAGATGGGAGGAAAAAATGTCCCTGCGTCGTCAGAAAGAGGAGGAGTATTTAGAGATGAGGGCCAAACGAGTGGAGGATTTGGAGAGTCAGCTACAACACATGAGAGTTCAAGATGCAGAGGAATACAACATGGTGAAGATACGACTAGAAACAGATGTGCAGGTTTGTTGGGGAATGCTTATGATTAAACTGTAACGTGGTCTTGCGTCATGTAGATATTGAAAAATTTTCAATTTCTTATTTCTTCAATGAACAGATCTAGCAACTCTCATTGCCTAGGGTCATGTAGATACTGAAAGCTTTGCCAGTACTTACTTATCCAGTGAACAGATTTAGCAGCACTCATTGTCTGGTTCATTCGGATAAAGATGATATTTGTTTGTGGGGCTTTCTCCCTGGAAATAATATTTGAGTTCACCTTCAATTTCTTGGTTATGACTTTCCCAAGTTGATCACAAGTGAGAGATGGTTTTACATATGTAAACATTTATTAGCTGGCATGGATGTGACAGTGGAGTTGGCATGTTTGAAGGTACAGTCTTGAATTGACAAGGCTCATATTTTATTAAAAAATTAGATGGAAATCATTTATATCTATGTTTATTTATCAATTTGTATCTCCATTTATATCTATCTAGACCATTTTTCATTGCATTAATTGCTATACACATATATCCAGGTCAACAAAGGTTCTAGCTCTTAATACTTATTCCAAATTCAATTAAGAGTTTGTCTCAGTCAAGAGTTGATCTCAGCCAAGAGTTGGTCTCAGTCAAAAGTAGGTCTGAGTTAAGAGTTGGTCCCAGTCAAGAATTTGTGTCTCAGTCAAGAGTTGGTCTCAGACAAGATTTGGTCTCAGTCAAGTGTTGGTCTCAGTCATAAGTTGGTATCAATCAAGAGTTGGTCCCAGTCAAGAGTTTGTTTCAGTCAAGAGTATGGCTCATTCAAGATTTGGTCCCAGTCAAGAGTTGGTCTCGGTGAAGAGTTGGTCTATTTTATCTCGGTTTTATTTGAACCTTTCAGATATTAGAGCAGCAGCTGCAGCAGATGAGAGCAACTTGTCAACTGAATCAGGAAAAGTTGGAGTACAATTTCCAGGTGTTGAAAAAACGAGACGATGAGAACACAATCACAAAGTCACAACAAAAGAGGAAGATCACACGGTAAGTGTTGGGAGCATTAGATATAAGGAATGATGATTCCAAACAGGCTAGAAAAGACATTTGATCATTACCTGTTTAGGTCATGTTTACAAATTATTAGTTATTAAAGAATTTAAGAATTTATTAGCATCAAATTTCAACTTTTGTTCTCTCCATTTTGTCTCTAGTAATGAGATAAGCAACTTGTGTTTTGCCTTAGTAATTAGAGTAAGTAGGTCAAAGTGGTGGCAATGTAGGTAGTATAAGTTCAATCTCCAATATGGAGAGCTTATAATTATTATAATTATTTTTCAAAATTTATTTCTCAACTAAAAAATAAAGCTCATTTGCTGCTAAAAATAATTTCAAAAACTATTCTAACAATGTTTAACAATGAAACCAGGCTAAACTGTGTTAGCATTCTTACACCAGTAACAAAGCTAGGCTAACTATGTTAGCGTTCTAACACCAGTAACAAAACTAGGTTAAGTATGTTAGCATCCTAACACCAGTAACAGACATCTTTTCAGTGTAGAGTCATTCTTTGATGGTTGATAAAATTATTTCTCTCACTCATATATTTTACATTTATTTTCACATTTCTCATGATGTTGAAAAAATCTGTTGCCATGAGCTAAGGTCACATCTTACATCTATTGCCATGAGCTAATGTCACATCTTTCATCTATTGCCATGAGCTAATGTCACATCTTTCATCTATTGCCATGAGCTAATGTCAAATGTTTGATCTATTTCAGTCTACAAGATGTGCTGAATGCCTTGAGAGCAAAGTTAGAGAAGCAAGAGAAGATCTATAGGGATGAGAACCAGCAGCTTAGTGAGGACTACAAGAGGATAACAGAACAGTTCCATGACCTGCAGCGGAAATCAAAGTAGGTCACAATGAAAGTTAGTGTAGGAACATTGCTGGAGGGATGAAATGGAATTAGTTGATGAATATTGGTGGAGACATTATGGTGGTCAGGTGAAAAATGTATTTCATCTTCATCATCCTTATAAGCATATGCCCTTCTGCCTTAAGCAATGGGGAAAATTTTTAATTGCACTCTCTCTGCAACTGTTCTTTGTCTGTGTATAGGATGTTAAAAATTGTATTTTAAAAGCACAAAAGCAAGAAACTTTATGAACAAGATATATAAATTGTATTTTTGTAAACTTATTTTGATGCTAATAAGATTTTTTAGAAAATGGTTTGATTAAACATTGTTTTGAAAACTTACTACTTTTATTACTTTTTTTACTCTTGTTTCCAGGCACTTCCAGACAACAGACACAAAAAAGCTGCATGAAGTTTGGTGCATGAATGAAGAAGAGTGTAAAAATCTGGCGGCTGAGGTCATGGAAGCTGACAGAGTTATCTATGAACAACAGCTTGGCTTGCAGTGGGAATGTCCAGACATGTATGTGTGTCTTGGACTGTCATGCTTGTCTGAATCTGATCAGTATTATTTCATGTGGGGAGTCTCCTAAGCTCATCTTAGATATTTGAACGATTCAGACTTCTGTAACATTCTCAGTATCATTATTCAAACCTTAAAGAGACAGAGGTTTCAATGAAATCATTGGCATAATATTTTTTAATTTAAATTTAGTTAGATCTAAACTTGCTCAAGAACAAATTAAAAAATGTTTGTTTGTATATTATTCTCTTACAATTTTTTAAGCTAGAAAAAAATTATTGTAAGCCTCATTCAGGCTGCATGGTACAATTTGATTTTTTTTCAATAATGTCATTTATATTCTAATATTTTGACTGAAAAGTTAAATAAATTAAAGATTTATAAACATTGTCACAGGAACTTCTTTTAAAAAATGCTGAATTGATTTATATTGTCAAACAATGTTTCTTCTGTTGCCTGGGAAGTCCACTAGTCTAATGGCTATGTTTAAATCTGCTTGTTAAAAGCTATAACAATGACAGACTGACAGAATGATTACTGCTTGTTAAAAGCTATAACAATGACAGACTGACAGAAGGATAAATACTTGCTAAAAGCTATAACAATGACAGACTGACAGAAGGATTACTACTTGATAAAAGCTATAACAATGACAGACTGACAGAAGGATTACTATTTGTTAAAAGCCTTAACAATGACAGACTGACAGAAGGATTACAAAAAATACAAACAAAATTCTAATTGCATCAATTTGCCAATTTCAGATCCTTTGTCGATAATGTGGGGCCCTTAATGAACAAGAAAGACAGGGGGTCTTCAGCCAGCAAGATTCTTCATGAACTTATGATAAGTAAGCCAATCATGATAAGTAGGCCTAAGCCATTCATTAAAACTTATTCAGCCACAATAAGTAAGTCATTCATGATAAGCAATTCAGTCATGATAGGTAAGCCATTTATGATCAGTAGGTCAGTCATGATAGGTAAGTCATAAGGTAATCATAAGTCATTCACTTAAGTAGTACTTGCAAAGTGTTACAATTTGCCCACATATTTGATCTTATTTTAGTTTTCCAGATTTGTAAACTACTTAAATATATTTATTTGTTATTTTTTTTATTCACTATAAAATATATTTTCCATGTGGTCTATATTAGACAAGGAACTACATAGATTTAAATAATTTATTTTATTGGACAAGGAACTAAATTATATATTTAAATGATTTATTTATAACAAGTCCAGCTTATAAATATTTCCTTCAAGTATTCATTTATTTTGGTTCAACTCAGAAGCCACAGAGAGTCAGGTAACAGAAGAGACTGGTTACCCTATTTCTGGCATCTATGAAAAGATTTCAGCCAATACCGTCAAGCGAGTCTTAGAACTCCTATGCGATGAAGGGGTGAGCTTAGAAAAACAAAATTCAAGCTGATTATTTCATTAGTTCATAAAATCATGGTAAACTTCAGAGTTAGATTTTATTCTTGTCCCACTTTAATTATAAATTTGTTGAAAGAAATCCAGTTGGTATTAAATTAATTTCAGTTTAAAAATGCTGTTCTAATTCCTATAAATAAATACAAATTTTTTCCTTTAGATTTCTTGTTAAAAATTGTATATATAAACAATATACTGTCTTTAGATCTCAAAGCATGGAGCCAAAATTTCTATCAAAGCTTCTCCTACAGGTCTAGCATATCACAATAGCTCTGACTACACTATAACACCATTATGTTTTTTTAAAATGACATTGAGTTTAATTCCAAATGGTGTTATTGATTGCATTATTTGATTTCAGGGTTTCTTGGTTGAGCAAAAACTGAACAAACTACTTGCTCCACTGGAGAAGGATGAACAATCTCTTATTAAATTGGATAATATTTTCTCTGTAAGTAAAGATCTCTAGTCATAGGTGGGACATCCTGGGCACTAATGTGGGAGGGGGGATTTAATTAAAAATAAGACTCAAACATTGTCTGGCTCTGTATGTGTGGACCAAAGGGGTAGAAGTAAAAGATTCTATAAAAACGTTTCAAATTATATTTAGCATTTAATTTTATTTTGCTTAAAGAATAGACTATCAGCTGATTGCTGACCTTGGCACACATAGCTGGCTGAGGTCGGAGATCGGCAAAAGGGCAGAAATTTATATATTAATTAACTGATTCAGTGAAATTCTAGAATGATGACAAACAATGGTTGTCTCTCCATTTAGAAGGGAAATATTAATGTTTCATTCACAGAGTTTTCAGTAATGGTTAAGCTTTTATACTCAAGTATTTTCGTTACAGGCCCTGGGTCTTGAGACTGAAGATGATATTCACAAGCTGACCACCTACTTTATCAACATCAAGGAAAAGGTAGAGTTTTATTTATCCCCACAACTGTGCTACTGTATTAAATTATGTCAAACAAAGTAACAGTCCCTAACCCTTACAGTTGTATTTTATTTAAATTTCAAATACATTTAGTTTTTCTTTAATGTATTTTCAGACTGAAGAGTTCATGATGATGAGCCAGTCAGCATCAGATATCATTGGAAAAGATGTAAATATATTTTTCCCACTCTCTAAACACTCAGCTCTCCACCTTTCCACCATAAATTAAACAATATCCTACTGTCAAAGATTTAAAATTTAAAATATTACAACCACATTCTCTAAGCACTATATCCCCCCCCCCTCCCCAAACCAGTTTAAATTTATACTCTGATTTTGTAGTGTGATAATTTCTGTGTAATTCACGATCAGACCTTAAGAGAAGATCTCATTTAATAACTTAGTAAATTTTAATGATATAGACTTTGGTTAATCTCCGATATAGCCAACAAATATTTATCCCTCCATCTGTTTTCTCACATTCTGGTGTGTGCCCTGACCTCCAGCTGGACAGTACAGAGGATGAAGTGAGACGATTGATGAGCAAAGAAATTGAGCTGTCCAGAGTACCCAGTGCCCTAGTGGAGCTGATCCACCCGAATGAGGTCCTAAAGGCCTTAAGGGCATTTGTTGAAGACCTGCGCAAAGCTGGCTTGTAAGTTTCATCAAATGGTTATAGGACTCTTGAGTTATATTCAATAGTTATTTCATCTATGAGCCATGGGTGTTACATTCAATAGTTATTTTATCTATGAGCCATGGGTGTAACATTCAATAGTTATTTCATCTATGAGCCATGGGTGTTACATTCAATAGTTATTTCATCTATGAGCCATGGGTGTTACATTCAATAGTTATTCAACACTTTGATATTGTAGTTCTAAGCTTCACTATAATGTGAGTTACAAAAACCATTGAATATGAAGCATCATTTATATTGTATTCAGTGGCATGTGTAGCATTAGCCATCATAAAGACCCTTACTTATTGGATTAGCCCTGAATAAATTATGATGCATAGTTTGAGTAGGGCATCCATTAAAATGTTTTAGTGGAGGGATACAACATAACATTAAGGTGAATGTAATTTTGAAGAAATAAATTGTCCTTTTTTAAAAAAATAGCCAATCACCTGAAACCTACGGCTTCCTGGTTCCCTTAATAGGGGGGAAATTAGCAAAATAACAATTAGGTTGCTATGGATATTCTAGTGTATTCTGTTGGTAGGAATTTGACCTGGGGTCAGGGGTAAGAAACCTTTTTTTTTTAGTGCAGAGCCATTTTATAAACTATGTCTGCTGAGAATATAGTTAGGGGGCCTCAGACAGGGGCAGGAGTAATAATGAAGATTAGTATTTATTGATTCCAGAGCCACAGGTTGCCAACAGTTGGATTATGTGATCTAAGAGTCACATGTGGCTCCAGAGCCATTGGTTGCCAACAGTTGCATTATGTGATCTAAGAGTCACATGTGGCTCCAGAGCCACGGGTTGCCAACAGTTGCATTATGTGATCTAAGAGTCACATGTGGCTCCAGAGCCACGGGTTGCCAACAGTTGCATTATGTGATCTAAGAGTCACATGTGGCTCCAGAGCCACGGGTTACCAACAGTTGCATTATGTGATCTAAGAGTCACATGTGGCTCCAGAGCCACAGGTTGCCAACAGTTGCATTATGTGATCTAAGAGTCACATGTGGCTCCAGAGCCACAGATTGCCAACAGTTGCATTATGTGATCTAAGAGTCACATGTGGCTCCAGAGCCATGGGTTGCCAACAGTTGCATTATGTGATCTAAGAGTCACATGTGGCTCCAGAGCCACAGGTAGCCAACAGTTGCATTATGTGATCTAAGAGTCACATGTGGCTCCAGAGCCACAGGTAGCCAACAGTTGCATTATGTGATCTACGAGTCACATGTGGCTCCAGAGCCACAGGTAGCCAACAGTTGCATTATGTGATCCAAGAGTCACATGTGGCTCCAGAGCCACGGGTTGCCAACAGTTGCATTATGTGATCTACTCAACACTTTCATGTGCAGGAAAAATGAGGCCAACAGAACCCACTTCCGCCTGTCTACCTTGGAGAACAGGGACGACTCTAGGGACTCTGATTACTGGCAGAAGTATGCTGGTCTACTCAGTGCTAAGAGAGAGAGGGTCTGGGATGCTCTTGTAGAGGCTTTGGAGAAATATCAGTAGGTGGAGTATTTTTGCTGGGGTGTAGTATGTGTGCTGTGGTGGAATATGTGTGCTGTGGTGGATTATGTGTGCTGGGGTGGAATATGTGAGCTGGGGTGGAATATGTGTGCTGGGGTAGAATATGTGTGTGTGGTGGATTATGTGTGCTGGGGGGAATATATGTGCTGGGTTGGAATATGTGTGCTGGGGTCGAATATGTGTGCTGTTGTGGATTATGTGTGCTGGGGGAATATGTGTGCTGGGGTGGAATATATGGCCTACGGTTTGAAAGTGGCAGTGAAAATATTTTTTGTTATAAATGTTGTGATTATTGCCTTAGTAAAACAGTATTTAATTTAATCATAGATGCAGACATTTCTTGAAACTGCGAATGAAATATTACAAGATAATAAGTTTTAATGTACTTTACAGATTACATCAGTAGAATTTCATTTCTGACTTTGTCTGATATTTAGATCTTTATTTCTATATTGTTAAATTTGTAGTTATTCATTGTTAATTCGGTGTCACTTTAACTTAGCTTTCTTTGAGGAACAATTGCTCTTAATTTAACAAGACATAATTGAACAATGCATGTAAAGGACTGTCCTATGCTAACTTTTTAATCTCACCACTACAAGACATAATTGATCAATGCATGTAAAGGACCATCCTATGCTGACTTTTTAATCTCACCTCTACCAGTGAAACGCTCAATGGTCGGAGCACACTTCTCACAGAGACAGAATCCCTGAGACAGCAAAACTCTGAGCTCAAGCTTCTGCTCCACCAGTATATAAACTCAAAGGTCAGCTACTTTAGTGTGTATGTGTACAAAGTATCTTTTCTGTGAGTTTTTTTTATGGCCTAGAAATACATATTCAGTCTAGTGTGTCAGTGTTGTGTGTTAGTCCTGTGTGTGTGCCCATCCAGTGTCTCTGCCCAGTGTGCCCATCCAGTGTCTCTGCCCAGTGTGCCCATCCAGTGTCTCTGCCCAGTGTGCCCATCCAGTGTCTCTGCCCAGTGTGCCCATCCAGTGTCTCTGCCCAGTGTGTCTGTCCGGTGTGTCTTTGTCAACCATAATCAATCAGAAAATATACCCAAGTCAATGTGTCTGTAACAATTGTTTACAGTCAGAAAACATATTCAATATGTCTGTACCAACTGTTTACAATCAGAAAACATACCCAATCCATTGTGTCTGTACCAAGTGATTACAATAAAAAAACATAGCCACTCCATTGTGTCTGTGCCACTGCACCAATCATTAACTCAAAATTACATACAGATAATTAGTCTCATATTTTCCCTCTCCACCAGGTGAACGCTGAACTACAAATTCCCCCAACACGTGTGTTACAGCTTGAGCTGAACCCTTACTAAAAGAAAAGGCAGTCACTCTATTCAAACACGTGTGTTGCCTAAAACACTATGGACAGTTAGTTATTGATTAATGAATTTATTCAAAGCCCAAAATTTGTCATATTTGATATTTGAAGAGAAGGACAAAGTGAATGGCATTGCCATTGCTAACAATATGAGAATCTTATTTATAAGAATGTGGGGGAGGGTGGAGATAACTTTTGAAACTTAATTAAATTCTAAATTATAGAAATCTTGAATTTTGACAGATACAAATATATAAATATGAAGATGATTACATGTCGTGGGTGTTTACACAGAGAAGGGCATGTTGAACCAGGAAGTGTAGAGATGGCACAGAGGAATATAAGAAATTACTGTATCACTTCAATCTTCTCTTGTTCTCGGAATCAAGGAATACAATGATGTTGTGAGGTGCGTTTTTTCTTAATAGAAGTTTATTTAATTTATAGTTTGCAGGGAAATAAGAGGCAGTTTAGAAAAATATTGCCACTACATTTTGACATTCTTAGGCATTTATTTTTGCTGTCAAATAAAAAAATAATTGTTTGAGGTTTCAAGTTGAAGCTAGAACAAGCTTGCCCATCCTTTAGCTAGCTGGCCCATCCTTTAGCTAGCTGACTCAAATACATTCCTTAAGTTCAATCTACCAAAATTTAAATAATGTTTGTTAAAATAGCTTAATGGGAGGAAATTTTGTATAAACATTCAAAGATGTTAAATTTGATTTGAATATTTATAATTTTTCTTATTTATTGAAAGTACAAGATTAATTAAGAACCACAGTTGAAATAGCAATTGCTAATGGCTATGGTCTTGCTTATGTTGTGGTGGTTTTGTGATTGTATTCTGCGGTCTCGCTCATTGGATATTTAGTAAGTGCCTGCTGATTCCTGTTTGACAATGTTACAGTATGTGAGCTGCTGTCCTAATGAAACAATGCATTGTTTAATTTTTTAAGACTATTCTTAACTAATATACTTGATAATTTGATATTTTAAAAGAAAATATTTTTTATTGTTTTTTATTTGCCAAAAATTTTTTAATGAATTTAAAATGTTAAACAAAATATTTTATAATATTGTATATTTGAAATGTTTACTTTACAATTTAAAGTTGATTAACTTTATCCAAATATTATGTTTTTAGTAAAGCAATTTAACAAGGGTTAAACAACTTGTGTGTTGTTAATTTTTGCATAGTTTAAAAGTCTTTTTAATCTATTCAACTTCCTTAATTTCTTATTATAAAACATATTATTTTATTTTAAATGAGAATACAAAGAACAGCAATAATTGAGAGAAAAACTAATGAGATGATGAAGTGTACAGTCTTTTAAGTTGGAGTGGAAGACGTGTAGAATAAATAAATTGATCAATCATTTTACAAATATTTTAGGTAGAAAATTTCAAACAGAATGAGAAATAAACATTTAAGTCATATCTTATTTCCCCCAAAATATTTGTTTCTAGAAAAAAAAATTTGGACTTTCTTAAAGTTAAAGGAGTTGCTGCTAGGTAAATATTGTGTTATATATATTCTCTAATAATTCAGTAAAAATAAGAGGAAGAATAAATTCAGCAAAGCATTCATGCTGTTATATTAATCAGTTTAAATAAATGAACTGAAATGTTTTCAAAATTCTCAAATATTGTTCTCTCAACACATGAATCTTTAATTATGTAAACACAGAATTATTTAATTCAACAAAAAATTGATTGAGTTGGACTCGAAATAATTCATTGAGACTATTTAAACATCTTTTTATCAAATTGAAATAAATTTAGGAATACGACTTTTCTTTCTTACTTCCCTTGCCTGACTTCTGGGGAATGAGAAGTAGCTAAGTTGACCTAATTTATAATTGTTATAATTTGTGTTGTTAGTTGTGTTGGTCAAACACTTATTATTTCTTTACAATACAAGTAAATGTATTGCTGGTCTACAAAGGCACAAAGCCATTATCTTGGAAACTGAATTTTTTTTTGTTGGGGGGGGGGGGGGGGGGGTGAGTTTCCCAAGTTCCATATACTGGCAGAGTTTACAGTTTGAATAAAAATACTTCTATCGTAGGATAAAATGGGCAACATACAACTGGACACACATGTTACATAATTTTGTAAGAATATACTTTGATACAAAAAATCTGTGATATATTCATGTTGTTTACTAGAATAAAGTATGATAAAATTCATAAGGTTATGTTGCTGTATTTATTCCTGAATGTTCTATACTGCTCTTGTTCACCAGTCAACTTTGATTGCGCTTTTCTCTTGTGTCTATCGCTCTATTTTCTCCATATACACAATTTCTCCTATGCTCTCTGTCCCTCTTTTGGAAAGAGCACACGATTAAAGAGCTATTAAAGAGCGGAGAAAGATCACACAAAGAGAGAGTGGTGAGAGCACATGATGTAATGGTGGTTAAGAGCACACAATGAGAGAGTGGTGAGAGCACACGATATTAAATACAATAATAAGTCCAACGAGTTTGATTTGCTCTAAATTAAGGTTGTTGGTTTTTTTTCGTTTTTTTTATTAAAGAATTTTGCCAACGGCAAAAAATATATGACTTTGTAATTTAAAACTTTTTTTTTTAAACTGCCAACTAGACGTTTCGCTATGTCAGTTGTTTTTTTGTTGTTTTTTTTTTTTTGTATTTTTTTTTTACATTTTAACACATTTTCTAAATTAAAAATTTTTAAGTGTGACTTGTACTGAACACCAGTGGTTCCCCGAATTTTCAGTTTGGCGGACCGGTGAACAAGTTTAACTTTTTTTTTTAAACTGCCAACTAGACGTTTCGCTATGTCAGTTGTTTTTTTGTTGTTTTTTTTTTTTTTGTATTTTTTTTTTACATTTTAACACATTTTCTAAATTAAAAATTTTGAAGTGTGACTTGTACTGAACACCAGTGGTTCCCAGAATTTTAAGTTTGGCGGACCGGTGAACAAGTTTCGAAATTTTACCAAGGACCGGTGCATGGTTTATTTTTATACTTTTTTTTTCTATTTGATAATAAATATTTATGTTATGGGGACCGGCAGCGTTAGGTATGTGGACCGGTGAAGGTCCACGGACCGCCATTTGGGGACCACTGCTGTACACAATCTAGGTGATTACTAGGGCAGTCAACGGGTACCCACCCGAGGCTAATTGTCCGGGCATGTCTGGGGAACCCGATTTTAAGAAATTTTTATTACAAATCTAAAAAACAAAGAGAAATCTATCTAATTTTGACCTTCTGCTGCCATAAGCACCACTGTCGCCCCCTAAAGACCCACTAACGTCTGTCTACTATGTTGGGCGGTGAAACGTCAGATGGATTGTCCCACCTGATGCTCGTTTGGGGGGGGGGCAAGCAACCAAACTAACATGTCCATACATTAGGGGGACCAAATCATGAACTGGAAAAAAAACGGGTCACACCCAAGGAGGGTTGGGGGAATACCCTCTAGTTAAAGAGGGGGTCAGGGGGGCCTCCGACAGAAACTGTTTATTGAAATGTGCCCAAGCCCAAATTAACTATTTTGAGACCCAGAATTTTTAAAAAAAATTAATTTCACTTTTGTCATTTAATTTAAACTCTGAGGTATATCATAAACGAAAACAATAATTTTGCAGCGTCGGCAGAGTGGTGGAGGGGGAACAATGCAGCCATCAAGCGAGCCCACATCACTACTGGCACTGGCTACACAGCTAGCCCACATCACTACTGGCACTGGCTAGACAGCTAGCCAAAATGTTACTTGAAGTTATATTATAAATTAGGAAGATTTAATGATTGGAACATGTGTTTGGTTTTAGAAACGAGACATTTGAGACTTTTTCGGGACACAGGGGACGATCGTGAAAAAACGGGACAATTCCATTTTTACGGGACGTTTGGTCATCCTATCATTCATACATTCTTCTGCTAAAATTCACCGCTGCCCCCACAAAAATGACTGGTTGTTATTTTAAAATCGGTATGCATCCATCATCTTTAATCTTTAGTTTGAAAGTTTATGAGCGCTCAAAGGTTAGCATGTCTCTCCACGCTAATAGTACCTACACGTGACAACATGCTAAGTTTACTAGACTAACAAGTTTAGTTGCTGGCAGGAGACAACTTGCTAAGTTTACCAGACCAATAAGTTTAGATGATGATGAAAATTGAAAAGATAGCTGAACATTTAAGAAATTAATAGTGCAAAGTAAAAGCGATGATCTTTTAGTTTTAAATAATGCTGTATCGTATCAGAAACAGAATTTAAAAATCAATACACTTACAAAGGTAGGTCATAAAACCTGCCGGCGTCGGTAACCATGGTGATGGTCGGTGAACTTAATGAGTTCCTAATTCAGTTGGCGTAGGAAGTGGGGAGGGGGCGCTCCGTCCTGGTCGGCACTTTTTATCTCAATATTAATGGGTAGCATGAAGATTAATGGGTAGCATGAAGATTAATGGGTAGCATGAAGATTAATGGGTAGCATGAAGATTAATGGGTAGCATGAAGATTAATGGGTAGCATGAAGATTAATGGGTAGCATGAGGTGGGATTTTCGGTAAAATACAGAGGTTTTTTGTTTGTTTTTTTGTGGTGGGGGTGGCAAAGAGCTTGACACGCCCCGGGCACTATTAACCCTTGCTATGCCACTGCTCCCTGTCGACTTGTCAGCTACATTGAGTTCCCGGGTACCCGGCTACGTGGGTTGACTGGTACTCGGGCAGTTGTTATGACATATAAATATTTTTTATTTTTTTTTTTACAGTCTTATCCGTTCCTAAATTTGCTCTGGTTGAAACATGTCTAGGTGAAACTAATGCTCTTCTCCAATGTATATTATCATTTGTTTCTTTACGGCCTTATGGGCTTATTAAAATATGAAAATCAATACAGCTATGTCCTTCTCTCCCCCCACGTCCCCCACTCCTCCCCAATCCACCCCCACTCCCCCACCGGTCTCCTTAGATGTCCCCCCCACCCCCCCACCCCCTCCGCGCCAGACACAGTGATGCGAGCCACCTTCCATTTTGGCCTGTTATTTTTACGGCTGTCTGGGTTCGTTAGCTTCTAAATCCAAAGGGAGCTAATCAAGCGCGACAGTGTTTTTAAAGTGATTTAAAAAAAACAACAACATACATGCAAACACACACACAAACACATAAACAAAAAAAAGAAGATCACTAGCCCCCCATTATAGCAAATAATCAGATGGGAACGCATGTACAACAATGAGAATACTTGTACAATGAGAATACATGTACAATGAGAACACATGTACAATGAGAATACTTGTTTCATAATAATACATGTACAATGGAAAGACCTGTTCTATGCTACTAACTATTTTGATACCAAGTCAAATGCCATTTATTTCTTGAAATGTGCCCTAAGGCACTGTGTGCCCAAACTTTGGTTTAACTTGGCAACTGCCATATCACATGGCATACGTATGAGATGTCATGTCAGCTGATATGTCAACATAAAAATATGTGGGGACAGTGTAAGTGAACCGTGGAATATGAATGTTTTGGTACAGCGGATTGAATAAAAATAGTAAACAAAAAATTTTCAACTTCAATAAAAAAAATAATGTGTGTGTGTGTGTGTGTTAGCTGAGTTGTTTGTGTATGTTCCCATACATCATATCTTGTGTATGTTCCCATAAATCATAATTTGTGTATGTTCCCATACATCTTAATTGGTGTGTTTTAGCTAAATAATTTGTGTAATGTGTGTATGTTCCCATACATCATAATTGGTGTGTGTTAGCTTAGTAATTTGTGCATGTTCCCATAAAAGATAATTGGTGTGTGTTAGCTAAGTAATTTGTATATGTTCCCATAAAAGATAATTGGTGTGTGTTAGCTAAGTAATTTGTATATGTTCCCATAAAAGATAATTGGTGTGTGTTAGCTAAGTAATTTGTGTATGTTCCCATACATCATAATTGGTGTGTGTTAGCTAAGTAATTTGAGTACGATATGTTTCCATACATCATTATGTGTGTGTGTTAGCTAAGTAATGTGTGTATGTTCCCATACATCATAATGTGTGCATATTCCCATACAATGTACATCATGCCTTTATTTAAAGTATGATGGCTTTGATGTAAATGTTGCCATGAATGTTTGTGTGTGTACAACTATGGGCGTGTCCCGGCTTGATGAGTACACACTCCGTAAGCTTCTTAAATGCAGCGTGCATTTTGTCGGGAGGGAGACAAATAAATATAACACCGCTCAGAATTCACATCAGGGGCGTGCGCTGTTAGGACTTCAACAAAAAAATATAACCCCGCCCAGAATTCACTTCGGGGGGGTGGGGGGTGAGGTCTTCAAGGGGGGGGGGGGGGCAAGCTATGTATTGTCATTCTTTTTTTTTCTTTTTTTTGTGTGAAGTAATTGAATATTGTCCTACATAGTTGACAGTATAAAATAATAACATTATTTCAAAGCAGGTTTCCCTAGGTTTAAACTATTTGCGCTTCCTACCCTTAACTCTCCATTACACAATTTGATTGGTGCTCTATATGTAGGTTTCTTACCCTTAACTCTCCATTACACAATTTGATTGGTGCTCTATATTTAGGTTTTTTAACCTTAACTCTCCATTACACAATTTGATTGGTGGTCTATATTTTGGTTTCTTACCTTTAACTCTCCATTACACAATTTGATTGGTGCTTTATATTTAGGTTTCTTACTCTTAACTCTCCATTACACAATTTGATTCGTGCTCTATATTTAGGCTTCTTACCATTAACTCTTCATCACACAATTAGATTAGTGCTCTGTGATAGTGTTTAGCTCTTCGGGTGTTGTATTGCTTGACTGTACTGTTGTAAAATCATTTTTATTATATAATTCATTTGATAGAACTAATAAAAAAAATTTTCATCTGTCTTATCACATATTTTTTTATATAACGATTAAAAGGCATGCTATTATTATTTGCAATATTAATATTGCTATTAGTAGGCCTATTAGATCTAGTTTTTTTTTTTTTTTAAATTGTTATTTTGATGGTTACTCAAAACCCCCTCAATTTTTGTTATTTACCTTCACCTTTGATGAAAAAATTAGACTCCCAAGCCAACCACCTGATGGGACTAATCCAAGGCCTATTAGATCTAGTTTTTTTTTTTTTTTTAAATTGTTAGTTTGATGGTTACTCAAAACCCCCTCAATTTTCGTTATTGACCTCCACCTATGATGAATAAATCAGGCTCCCAAGCCAACAACCTGATGGGTCTAATCCATTTTTACACGAAACCCTGCTCCAAGGGCTCAATGGGCAGGCAATCACGCCGCACATCGAGACAATATCCAAGTAGTTTCCCTTTTCATACTTGTCGCCCCGAACGGACTGACTATCTGTGGTCATATCACGCGCGCACAGAACGGTCATCAGACTAGACAGGACATACTTCTCCGATAGTTAGTCATAAAATAACGCCAGCTATAACTGTAAGCTATTTGAGTGGTGAGTTTATTTATAGCATCATTCTATGGCGCAAGTAGATTAAAGAACGTTGCGCGGGAAGAAAATTAAATTTAAAAAAAAAATAAAAAAACATTGTAAGGAAAAGGTACTCTCGAGATTCATTTGTGTGTGATTTATCATTTTTAAAAAAAAGGGTGAGTTGTCTGTCTTACTTCATTTATTTGTTGTTGATCTTGTATTTTTGTGTGGTGGTTTTGTCTTGTTTTGTCTTGTATTGTCTTGCACCCAACGGAAGCCAATCACGGTATCACTAATACAAAAGGTTGACATTGAATAAAACATTGACAAGCTAAAGGACACCTTCAGGGCGTGTGTTTTTAACAGTCCAATGATATTATGCAATGTGTTATAATATAACATAACAACGAACAAATACAGTGGAAGCAGGAGCGTCTATCCCCCCCTCCCCTTTTAGGGGAAGGGGTCACCCATCTCCCTCATAGCCCTTGTTCAATTATGTGGGTCGTGTTATTGCAATTGTATTCTAGAGTTCATTCTGAATATTGTAGTAACAGAAAAATTTACTGTTCAAATATTGTTAGAACCTTTTAAACTATTCAGTTATAATATTGATAACAAACGTTTACTATTTCGCTAACAGTTCAAAAGTTGTTCACATTTTTTAAGCACACGAGAATATATAAGCCAGTGGGGTTTTAAACAAATGAAGTTCAGCAGGCATTTAATTCGTTTTATTTTTCAGTTTTTATTCTTTAAATTCAAACATCGGGTGTAAGGCTGGATAGCCGGGACCCTGGATAGCTGGATCACTACATGGCTCGATAACTGGTTGATGGTTGAATGGCTGGCTGACTGGATGGCTGGATGATTTGATGGCTAGGTGGATAAATGTATCTATTCCAAACTTGTGGAGTGGAGCTCAGCCGAGCATAAACCAGACAATAAAAAAGCTCCGATGATGACCAGATTTTTCTCCTGACAAAACTCCCAGGCCTTGTGGTTTCGTAATATTTTTTTAAAAATAGTTAAATAATATCGAATATTTGTAGGGAGGGGGGGTGGGAGTTCTTTCCTGTATTGATTTTTTTTTTTACCTGGAGAAATTAAAAAGCTGGCCGAAAATGGGGATGGGGGTATTATATCCCCCCATTTTTTACCAGATTTTTAATTGGGAAGCAGCTGCTATCTCCACCCTCCCCTTCCCATGGAGATCCCCAGAGTTATCCCCGCGATAACGCACATTCGTGATTGCAGCAAAGATCCCCAAATGTCGTGTTTTATTTTTTCTAACACGTGAAAACATGAGTACAAAAGATCTATTCTTGTACAACATATTTACAAATTCACCAAAACTAGTCTAGCTTTTACATTTCACATCGTACCCTTCAATGATCTCTCTAATGATTTTGAAATCGATCGTCCTACTTTAAAAAAAATTCCCTATATGCAATTGGCACGGAAAATTGTTTTAAAAAATGCAACAACGTAACCCCGTTTCAACGCGATCAGAATTTATGGAAATCTTTTCAGTAGCGTAACTATGGAGCCGCCTATGGCTGGGCAAGATTTTTTTGCAACCCAATTCCACGAAAAATGCCACCCCCCTCCCAACCAAAAAAAAAATTGCAATGTAACCAGGGGCGGCACGCCACCTCCTTTCCTCCTTCCTACACCTTTGTCCCATTGTCGCGTTCTTGCGGGGCTCCACTGTCCTTTGAGAACACGAGAAGGCTACTCTCAAGGGGGGTAACCACGGGGGCGGGAAATTGACATTACGTTCGGTCGCCATCACTGTATTGATTTTGTGATAGATACTCACCCTTCATTAACTCTGGACAGGTTGACACTCAGGATGACAACGTCATTGACAGATATTGACTCGGTCTGTCTGGCATGGGCGTGACCAGATGACGTTACAGGGGGCTAAACAAGGCGGTGATCATCCGTTTACTCCCAAGTTGATGAAGCAAAATGTGTCTGCGGGGTAAAAGAGAGAGGGAGAAAGAGAGAGAGAGAGGGAGAGAGAGAATGAGAGAGAGAGAGAGAGAGAGAGAGAGACGGAACTGTAGTGTCATAGAATAGCTCCAGACTGACCCCTTCGTGTCCAGCACTCCTGACATGACATATTGGAAGTTTGGCTAATTGGCCAAGGGAGTAAAGCTACCTCTAGCTATTGGCCAATGGAGTAAGGCTACAACTGGTTATAGGACAAGGGTGTAGGTTTCTCTATTAATGGGCCAATGGTGTAAGGCTACCTCTAGTTATAGGCCAATGGTGTAAGGCTACCTCTAGTTATAGGCCAATGGTGTAAGGCTACCTCTAGTTATAGGCCAATGGTGTAAGGCTAACTCTACTTATAGGCCAATGGTGTAAGGCTACCTCTAGTTATAGGCCAATGGTGTAAGGCTACCTCTAGTTATAGGCCAATGGTGTAAGGCTACCTCTAGTTATAGGCCAATGGTGTAAGGCTACCTCTAGTCATAGGCCAAGGGTGTAATGTTACCTCTAGGTCTGGCTTACGGGACAAAAGAGTAAGGCTATCTCTAGGTCCAGCTTACGGGACAAAGGAGTAAGGCTACCTCTATTTATTGTTTGTCTCACAGAGGAAAGTCCCGTGGGATGTGTTCAGATTGTATTATTTAAAAAAGTTTAACTTATTTTGTCCATAGCACAGATTACAGGTAGGCCATACTCAGTGCTGTCTCAAGTACTCAGTGCTGTCTCAAGTACGCGCCCTTACTGGATGGTGTTGCGGCAGAACACGTCAATAAGAAAACCAATCTCGTTTTATCAAGGGTAGTAACAAGGGTGGTAATAAGACTGGTAACAAGGGTAGTGGTAATAAGGCTGGTAACAAGAGTGGTAATAAAACTGGTAACAAGGGTGGTAATAAGGCTGGTAACAAGGGTGGTAATAAGACTGGTAACAAGGGTGGTAATAAGGCTGGTAACAAGGGTGGTAATAAGACTGGTAACAAGGGTGGTAATAAGGCTGGTAACAAGGGTGGTAATAAGGCTGGTAACAAGGGTGGTAATAAGACTGGTAACAAGGGTGGTAATAAGGCTGGTATCAAGGGTGGTAATAAGACTGGTAACTAGGGTGGTAATAAGACTGGTAACTAGGGTGGTAATAAGGCTGGTAACAAGGGTGGTAATAAGGCTGGTAACAAGGGTGGTAATAAGACTGGTAACAAGGGTGGTAATAAGGCTGGTATCAAGGGTGGTAATAAGACTGGTAACAAGGGTGGTAATAAGGCTGGTAACAAGGGTGGTAATAAGGCTGGTAACAAGGGTGGTAATAAGACTGGTAACTAGGCTGGTAATAAGACTGGTAACTAGGGTGGTAATAATACTGGTAACTAGGGTGGTAATAATACTGGTAACTAGGGTGGTAATAAGACTGGTAACTAGGGTGGTAATAAGACTGGTAACTAGGGTGGTATTAAGGGAAGTAACAAGGGTAGTAACAAGGGTGGATGACCCCACCTCTCTCATCAATTTGTGTATGGCTACAGGTCTGATGACCTTCTCTCTCATCAAACTTTATATGGCTACAGGCTTGATAAACCTCTCTCTCATCAATCTTTGTATGGCTACAGGTCGGATGACCCTCTCTCTTTTCAATCCGTGTATGAATATATGTCTGATGACCCTCTCTCTCTTCACTCCGTGTATGGCTATATGTCTGATGACCCTCTCTCTTACATCAATATGTGTATGGCTACATGTCTGATGACCCTCTCTCTCCACAATCTGTGTATGGCTACAGGTCTGATGACCCTCTCTCTTATCAATCTGTGTATGGCTACAGGTCTGATGACCCTCTCTCATCAATCTGTGTATGGCTACATGTCTGATGACCCTCTCTCTCTCATCAATCTGTGTATGGCTACATATTTGAATATCCTCTTTGTCATCAAATATTTGTATACCTATATATGTATGATGACCTTCTCTCTCATCAAATCTGTATGGTAGGTCTGATGACCTTTGACCTCATCAATCTGTGTATGGCTACATATCTGAATACTCTCTTTGTCATCAAATATTTGTATACCTATATATACATGATGACCCTCTCTCTCATTAATCTGTGTATGGCTGTGAAGGTTTAACAAATACCCCATATTTATTTTTCACCATGCCGACTCATTAGTCGCCTGGCTGGATTGGTAACCATGACAACAGAAGTGACTTACCAGTGCTCACTTAGCGCGGACGTGCTGAAGGTCGCCATGGCTGAGTTGAATGAGGACCCGAACACACGCCATATAGAAGTCAAGACATTGCGACAAAGATTGGAGAAATACCCAGGTAGTAGATGAGTTGTTCAGTTGTCGCCCCTTAAACTGCCAATATTCAGTACTAATATGTTAAAATATGCGCTCTTACATTCAGGACTATATGTCTTCAAAGATATAATGTCAACATAGCCTCCACCCCAGAAAGGTTGTTATATTTCCAGATCCAAATGGCAATATACTCTCTGAAACCAAAAGTCATCAGATATCCATTTGTTCTGTTTCATCGTGATATCTTAGCTAGCGCTTGCTCAAGATTAACGGACTCTCCCTGAGTTGCCCCATAGTTAGATCTACCCCTTCACGAACAGGAAAAAAAGTGTAAATGAACTAGTCAGACTAATGTCTCGGGAGGGGGGTAGTCTCTTTTTACGTTGATTAAATTAAATGTTATAATATTTAATTACAATGTAAATCAATTATTATCACCTGACATTGTTCTATGCTGCCCCCCCCCCATATTTCCCTCCTCCCAACCAATGCCCCAGGACTAAATGCCCGGACGGACTCCAAGTTCTTGCTGAGATTTCTACGGGCCAGGAAGTTTGACCAGGAACAGAGCTTCCAGTTGGTCCTCAATTATTACACCATGAGGAAAGATGACAGGGAGATCTTCAGTGGTAAGTAATTACACATTGGGGATAGATGACAGGAAGGTCTTCAATGATAAGTAATTGCACATTGGGGATAGATGACAGGAAGGTCTTCAGTGGTAAGTCATTGCACATTTGGGATAGATGACAGGAAGGTCTTCGGTGACAAGGGATTGCACATAGAGGGTAGATGACAAGAAGGTCTTCAGTGGTAAGTCATTGCATATGGGGATAGATGACAGGAAAGTTTTCAGTGGTAAGTAAGTGTTATTACAACTTGAGGAAAGATGACACGAAGCTCTGTAGTGGTAACTGCAGTTCTAAATGTGCTTTTATTGATGCATCATATGTCATGTTATGTTCTGTTCTTGTCTTTATTGTGTTCATTACTGCGGAGATCAAAGAAAAGGTTTGGCCTGGCCCCCAATATTCATGTCTGTACGTGAATACTTTAGGCACTGTCATCGTGTGGGTCCTGCGACCCCTGCGGGTACAGGGGACCTCGCATTACTAATGTGTCTATAGTTGGGATGTGGACAAAATATTAAATTATCAACTTTGAGTGCAGGGTAACAGAACCGAAAAGTGTCAGGGGGGGGGGTACCTAAGTCATAAGACGGCTCGGCTTTTAGCGCCTTCAGATCACAAATCAGCTGACTAATGGCGTTACAAATTTGTTGTTGTTTTCCTTTTAAAACACGTTGACCAGTTGACTAACGCCCCTGAGCCTATACAATTGCTTTTAAGGAACTATTTCTTGTTCGTTAGTCTGTAGATATTTTTCAATAATAGCAAGACCCAAATCACGACATTTTTTTTATGTCTCATCAGATCTTAAACCATTCTGTGTGCGTCACGTGTTTGAGAGCGGGTACACGACGCCCCTGGGGGTCAGAGACAAGAAAGGGGCCGCAGTTATTCTAGAAAAACCAGGTGAGCTACTTTAAAAAAAAAAAAAAAAAAACAATAAATTCACTGACATAGTGCGTAGATTATGAATTGCTTTTTTGTTGTTTTTGGTACACTTTTTGAGTCAAATTTTTGCCGAGTTCCATTTCTCTTTGTGTATAGCTAAAATAATAATGCATAGCTTAATTCATTAATAATAGCAATAAACGTAAGGACATCTAATTGTAACCTAGTTATTGAAGAGATTTGTTGTTGATGTCATTATGATTTCACTTTGCTATGGTGGACCAATGGTCTCTATCCACGTGGAGGCTGAGGTATGTGGCTCTATCCACAAACTTTTAAATGAACATACTTCAAACACGACTTATTCAGACGTCTTTAACTTAAACAGAATGATCAATCCATTGGTCGTGGGCCCTCAAAATATAGAAGAAGAAGATATGGGAGAGGAAAACCCCAGAAAAACGACCTATCATACAATAGAAGATAAAATATCAACAGCACATATTATTAAATATTATATAGAAAAATATCCTTATTTCAGGTAACTGGGACTATGCACGGTTCTCTGAGTTGGATCTGATCAAGGCAGATTGTATAACTATTCAAAAAATAACGGAAGTATGTCTTTGTTTGTTGTTATGTGTATGCTTTCTTAATTGTTTTTGTTGTTGTTGTTGTTGTTTTTTTGTTTTTTGTTTTTTGAACTTGAGATTTCTAAAATCCAGCAAAGACTTTCAGATGGTATCAAAATTCTTCAGATGATTCATCCCACATAAAAAGTGTATGTAAACATTGTTGAATGCTATATGCAGTGATTTCAATCAAGTATAAACTTGATTCGTAAAAAATGTGTACAAAGATAATCTTGTGTACACACAATACAGCCGAACAGTGATCTAGTAACTATAAACAAAAAGTATTGTGTTTTTCCATTAGGATGAGACAACTCAAGTTTATGGGGTAACTCTTCTCATTGACTACACGGGCTTCACCTTGTCTCACCTGACTCACACGTCACCTTCTTTTGCCAGACGAATGTGTAGGTTATGGCAGGTGAGTTGGTAGGTGGGCCATCTGATGGACCAGGTGAGTTGGTAGGTGGGCCATCTGATGGACCAGGTGAGTTGGTAGGTGGGTCATCTGATGGGCCAGGTGAGTTGGTAGGTGGGCCATCTGATGGGCCAGGTGAGTTGGTAGGTGGGCCATCTGATGGGCCAGGTGAGTTGGTAGGTGGGTCATCTGATGGGCCAGGTGAGTTGGTAGGTGGGCCAGGTGAGTTGATAGGTGGGTCATCTGATGGGCCAGGTGAGTTGGTAGGTGGGCCATCTGATGGGCCAGGTGAGTTGGTAGGTGGGTCACCTGATGGGCCAGGTGAGTTGGTAGGTGGGTCATCTGATGGGAGAGGTGTGTTTGTAGGTGGGCCATCTGATGGGCCAAGTGAGTTGGTAGGTGGGTCATCTGATGGGCCAGGTGAGTTAGTAGGTAGGCCATTTGATGGACCAGTTGAGTTGGTAGGTGGGCCATCTGATCAACCAGGTTAGTTGATAGGTGGGCCAGGTTTATGGACCAGGTGAGTTGATAGGTGTGCCATCTGATGGGCCAGGTGAGTTTGTAGGTGGGCCAGGTATATTGGCCAGGTTATTTGGTTGCTGGGTCACCTGACTCAAGTCACTTTCTTACGCCAGACGAATGTGTAGGTTATGGCAGGTGAGTTGATAGGTGGGCCATCTGATCGACCAGGTGAGTTGGTAGCTGGGCCAGGTGAGTTGGTAGGTGCTTCGTAACTGTTCGATACATTCCCGTTCCAAAACATGTCAGAATCGGTACTTCAGTATTGAAGATACAGCTGAACAATTTTACTGCAATCCGTGAGGCTCAAAGTGCAACGATTTTTATAAATTTGGAAAGAAATGTTTTAAAAAGTATCGTCATAACATTAAAATGTCGTGGGCCAGATTCATAAAAAATGACAAAAGGGGGATGGGGCGCACAAAAAACGGGAATAGGAGAGAGGTAATGTACACAGGACCACCTTGATTTCGTCTTAACAAACTGTTCATGATAGAGTTGTTACATCATTATGGTGTTTTCCATCTGACTTCCCTGTAGGATGTGTTCCCAGCGAGGCTAAGAGCTGTCCACATTGTCAATGAGCCGGCGAGCTACAGCAACATCTTCGGACTGTTCAAGCCGTTTCTTAAACAAAAGCTGTTGGATAGGGTAAGTCGTGTTTTACACGGAGGGTAGGCTGTCGGAAATTACTTTTACAAGGAAAGTCACCGAGAATGACTCCCCTTGTCCACTTATTGTCTAGGCCCCCACTTCTATTTTCTTTCACTTTCTCCCTGGGTCCCTCAATCCTATTTTCTTCCTCTTGCTTGGTCTTCCTTCTACGCACAATTTTCTTCTCTGTTTCAGATTTTTTTCCACGGTACCAAATACTCGGGTCTCCATGAACACATTGATCCAGACAATCTTCCCAAAGCTTACGGTGGAAACTGCCCTGATGTGGTGGATACGGTCAGTGGACAATATGTCGTTACAACTAAGTGATATTTTTCTCAACATTTTTATTTTATAGATGACTATTAGGATCTGTAGACACTAGAGTCACAATAATAATGAATCACACAAGTGCACCCGAGGGTAAATCATTATCTTCAATTTTGACGTAACTTATTTTTTCAAGGGATATGATGGGTTGCCAACCCGGTTGGGAGTGAGGGGGGGGGGGCAATAAGATAAGCAGTATCTTAAATCCCATTACAAACTCAATGAGTATGAGGAAACGATACATTCGGTTGTGTAATTCTAGCTTTATATTGTGGACTAACAAATACACCCTCCCTTCCCCCCTCCCGGTCCATACCCACCCCTCCTCTCATTCAGACATGGGCTGACGTTATTCTCAAGTGTGACAAGCAGTTTGAAGAAGACGCCAAATATGGTCTGCTCGACATGAAGGTCAGCGCCCTGCAAGGGGCGGAGACTGAGAGCCCAGGAGGCGTGGCCAGAGACAGCCTGGTCGGGACATTCAAGAAACTGGCAGTTGATTAGAACATCTGTTGACAGCTGTTCAATTCAGCATCATAAATCACTATACAAAAAAGTTATTTTAAACATTGAATAACATTAACCTTACAGATATCACATGCACACTAGCTTAGTTTTTATAACAAGATATAAGCTGTAATTTTTTGAAAAACCTGCACAAGTTTTAAATAAATGCAAAATGGTAATTTTTATAACAATTTACTAATAGTTTGTTGTTGTTTTTTCGAACAAACAACTGTTTTGAACGGTCAGAACAGAGCCGAAAAAAATCTGCGCCCGGGGCGCACTAGTAAGACGATTTTACCACCCCTGTCTACGTGAAGTGAGTGGGATTTTATCGTTTAATTCACTTTTAAGGTCCTCTCTAAGAATGATTTTGGCGCCCTCTGATGTTGGCACCAGGGATGATTGACCCTGTCACCCAATCCTTTGCACGGCCCTGAGTATTTAGAGCAGTGGTTCTCAACTTTCCTAATGCAGCGACCCTTTAATACAGTTTCATATGTCGTGGCGACTTCCAACCACAAAATTAATTTCGATGCTTCTTCAAAACTGTTGAGGAGTACATAATGTGTTTTCAGATGCTCTTAGGGGACCCCTGGGAAAGCGCCGTGCGATCCCCGGGGATCGAGACCCACAGGTTAGAACCGCTGATATAGAGGGATAGGGAGCCTCAGTGGATTACTTTGCCCAGGGCACCAGCTGATGTAAATACATGGCAAGGGAAAAATACAGGGCACCAGCTGATGCAAAGACAGCCATGTCAAGGGGATAATCCAGGGCACCACCTGATGTAAAGACATAGCAAGGGGAAAATACAGGTCACCAGCTGACGTAAAGACATGGCAAGGGGATAATCCAGGGCACCAGCTGATGTAAAGACATAGCAAGAGGAAAATACAGGGCACCAGCTGATGTAAAGACATGGCAAGGGGAAAATCCAGGGCACCAGCTGATGTAAAGACAGCCAAGGCAAGGGGAAAATCCAGGGCACCAGCTGATGTAAAGACAGCCATGGCAAGGGGAAAATCCAGGGCACCGGCTGATGTAAAGACATCCATGGCAAGGGGAATATCCAGGGCAAAAGCTAGTGTACAAAATAAATTAATTTCCCATTTTAGTGCAATTTTTTCGTTTTAATTTCTTTAGTGAAAATTTTACGCATTTAGTTGACACATATCTCCTAGTTTAGACACTGTCATTGGGACGACAGCAACCACTACTTTTTGTTGACACATACCTCCTAGTTTAGACACGGTCAATGTGACGACAGCAACCGCTACTTTTTGTTGACACATACCTCCTAGTTTAGACACGGTCAATGTGACGACAGCAACCGCTACTTTTTGTTGACACATACCTCCTAGTTTAGACACGGTCAATGTGGCGTCAGCAGTTGCTTTTTGTTGACACAGATTTCTTAGACTAGACTTTTCCAAACATTGACAAGGAAACATGGACATTATAGAAATAACACAGACACACAAACTGAACGCATTTAATAGTAAAAATGTGTAACATTACGACAAGATGATTTCGTTAGGATAAAATGTTCATAATCTTTCTATATTTAATTTAGTACTGAACTCTCAAGCCAAATGGATATTGAGCCGTGAACACGTCACTGTCCTAAGAATCCCTCTTTTCAAATCGTTTAGCCTATTGAGACGGTAGCTTTGTTTCGTCCTCTGTGAGCGAATTGAACTAAAACAAATAACCTAAAATTAAAATAAGATGGTTAACATGTTATTACTGACAAGACTGAGATTGCCGAATCGACGCCCCATCACTGGATCTGGCCGTTTTAACAATGAAACGTTACATAGTGGCGTTTGTAAAGCTCCTCTATGCCGTAAAGGTAAGTATGAAATTAGTATTAACACTCAAAGGCGTCACTAGGGTTGGTGCCACCTTGTGCGGTTGACTCTTGGTGTCACGCCCTCCGGCCCCCCGGCCCTCTGGCTCTCCCGGCCCCCAACATCCCGACTTACACCCAGTAATTGGGTAATGTGAAGCGATAGCTCCTCTCACGTGGCATCACAGATCATGGTAAACAGTTAGTTGGTTTAATGAGAGGACTGTCAGAGATTCTGGGAAGCCCCATTCAGCTGTGAATATCAACGCGTCAGATACTGACCCATCTTTAGCTTCGTCCAAATGAATAGCTGCTGCCTTCAGATGGCTTCGCAGATAATTCAATAAAAAGTTCACTATCACATCATGCATAACAAAAGGTGGTCTGTTTGCGAGTGGACACCAGTGTTTTCAGTTTGTGAGTGAAATCCAGTGTGGTCAGTTTGGTAGTGGACTCCAGTGTGTCAAGTTTGGGAGTGGACTCCAGTGTGGTCAGTTTGGGAGTGGACACCAGTATGGTCAGTTTGGGAGTAGACACCAGCGTTTCTGCTTCAGACGCCAATAGAAGACTCTAGCCTTGGAGAGTTGCTTCCCTACTTCCTTTCGATCTGGAGCTCAGAATAATAACGATCAATATCCCCCAACCTTCGCCATCTTGTTTTCTTCTTGGACTATGAGTCCGACTTCCGTGATCTCTCCCGTACCAGTGGCTGCACCACACCCAGACTTTACCACGAACCTCCTTCGAGTTTATCTTCTCTGGTAACAACCCGTTTTGGTGGCACCCTGATCTTCTGGCACCCTACTGTGGTGGCATCATGCTTTGGCGACACCCTGCTCTTGTGGCATCCTACTGTGGTGGCATCATGCTTTGGTGGCACCCTGATCTTGTGGCACCATGCTTTGGCAGCACCCTGCTTTGGTGGCACCCTGCTTTGGTGGCACCCTGATCTTGTGGTACGCTGCTTTGGTGGCACTCTGCTTTGGCGGCACCCTGCTTTGGTGGCACCCTGCTTTGGTGGCACCCTGCTCTTGTGGCATCCTGCTTTGGTGGCACCCTGCTTTTTTGACACCTTGCTTTTTTGGCACCCTGCTTTAATGGCACCCTGCTTTGGTGGCACCCTACTTTGGCGGCACCCTGCTTTGGACTGCTTTGGTGGCACCCTGCTCTTGTGGCATCCTGCTTTGGTGGCACCCTGCTTTTTTGGCACCCTGCTTTTGTGGCACCCTGCTTTGGTGGCACCCTGCTTTGGTGGCACCCTACTTTGGCGGCACCCTGCTTTGGTGGTACTCTGCTTTGGTGGCACCCTGCTCTTGTGGCACCCTGATTAGGTGGCACCCTGCTTTTTTTGCACCCAGCTGTGGTGGCACCCTGCTTTGGTGGCATCCTGCTTTGGCGGCACCCTGCTTTGGTGGCACCACGCTCTAGTGATACTCTTCTCTGCTGGCACCTTGCTCTTTTATTCAACAGAGTATGGATAAGAAGTGGACTCGTCCGAAATATGTCACATTTTCCATTTGGTGTAATCTCCTGTGAGGGGGTCATACGGTGCCACCCCATTTGGTGTAATCCCCTGTGAGGGGGTCATCCGGTGCCATCCCAATTGGTGTAATCCCTTGTGAGGGGGTCATCCGGTGCCATCCCAATTGGTGTAATCCCCTGTGAGGGGGTCATCCGGTGCCATCCCAATTGGTGTAATCCCATGTGAGGGGGTCATCCGGTGCGGTCTACACACCCCTCTTGACGTCATTGTTAACACCCATGGCAAATTTACTCCAAGCTTTTTCCTTTTGTTCTTTACTACTTTTTTTTTGTACTCGTACAGTACAGCGTTAATTAGCCTGAGATTGTGTTAATATTTGTAAAGTTCATTTCACATTGATATTGAGTTATTTAAATGTTCAATGAGGAATCGATCGGTAGGAATTATTGAATTCAAATCGGCCACGTAATTATTGGTTCAAATAGACATATAACTGTTCTTATTTATGTCATGAATTAAATATTTCACTCAAAGTAATGAAGTTACTCTGCCCTTATTGATCAGCTGCAGAGACAGCAACGCATGGACTTGCCTGCTCTCAGACAGAGGGTGTCTACAAAGGCCTTGGACTCATCCAGCCTTCTCCAGGTGACAGCCAACAGGTAAGACAATCCCACACATAAGAGTCAACGTGTAAGACAAGTCCACACATGACAGTCAAGTAAGACAAATCCACACATGTCATTCAGGCCTACAATTAACACACCATTACAATGGTGGGGTTAACGCATGATCCAATATTGTAGTTATAGTTACTATATCATCCCAATGCTGTAATTAACAGATAATACAAATGGTTTACAGGGTGGGCCACATGTAAATAGCTCGACAACCGAGATATTATGACAAGATGAATGAGCAAATCCAATGTTTCTATGATAATGTGATATATTATAATTTGTTCACTTTTTACCCATAGGCTTCTACGCGGAATGGTATGTACGCCAACAACCAAATGAAGACATTAATAGGAGGTCTTTATGGCAATGGCCGACAAGCTATCTCTGCCTTCTTGAAACAAAACCTGGGACTGCTGTCCTCAAACTGTTGTGGATGGCATGTGGTTCCAGTCCGCCACTTCAGAAGTGAATATGTATGTGGTCAAGTTAAACCTTTAGCTGCTACTTATTCGATCGATCTATATGCCTGGTATTTTCTTTAAATTTAGAATTTAATTCCTTAATTTTAAAGTAAAAGCATGAACTTTGCCCCAGTGAACTTTGCCCCAGGCAACCAATAGAAAGGAAAGATGGCTGAAAGTTGGTGTACCAATGTTTTCAATCAATATTATTTTGGTTTCAACGACTGTTGCTTTAGGATTGTCCCTGCCATTAGATTCAAATGAAATGATTGTGACAATGGGTCTTCTGATTCGCGCTTTCTTATATCACACAATGTTTTAAGACAGAGAGGATAAGGACAATGATTTCCAAAAAAACTTCACGGGGGAATGAGTATTACGCAATTACATCAGACCCCTGAAGAGAATCGGACACACCGAGTGTAACTAAAGCGATTGGCGCCATTTCATTGACAGCTCAATTCATGGTTTGAAATTGGCTCTTTCAAGTGATGACAATAAATATGGTTCAATTACAATTGGCCAATCAGCCAAGATGAAATAAAAATATAGCGTACAGCGCAATCTTGTTGGACTTTGTAATTTGTAAAAATAAATGACCTAAACCAAAGATGGCTAAACTGAAGATAGTTATTTTTTTTTCCATGGTTTACAAGTAACTCACATAAAGTTTCCCTGCGTCTCAAGCCTTTTGGGATAGTTGAGTCAAACATGAACTTTGGGCAAAGAAATAATGAGTCAGTCTCCTATAGAATAGGCCTTTATGGTGGCATAGTAATTGTGGACAGAGGACAAAATGTCAGCCATGAACCTTAAGTAAACACGAGATAGAGTCAATTCAGAACCTCTATCTATAAAGCTATGTCTGAGTAGAATCGGTCCAGCCAGTCCCTCTACCTATAAAGCTAGGTCTGTGTAGAATCATTCTAGCACCACTACCTATAAATCTAGGTGTGAATCTAGTGAAGCAGTTGAATAAAGACACTGAGGGCTGACACTTTCGATGATCCACCAATTAGACAACTTTTAAATGACCCACATTGATACCATCAATGAATGAAATCGAATTATGTGCCTGTTCTTCATTTTGTTTTTGTATTCACTAGATCTCATTCCAGAGATTCTTGGTGACTTAAGCAAAGGGTGAGATGTCACAATGAAATAAGAGCAGTGGAACCCTATTAACAAGGTGGATAGGATGTTGTTTAAAGCTTAGCACCATTGACTTGGCGGCTCCAACCCTCGAATAGCTGAATAATCTGTAAATCAAATGTTTTTGCTTTTGGTGGGAATTGAGCACAGCTCAGTGACAGCCATTTTGGTTGTCATCATTAGAATTATGTTTACTGCTTTAAAATTAGCTTTTGTTCTGTATTTCACAAAAAATCTGGAGCTGGAAAACAGATGCCAATGTCGGAATGAATCAATGGTAAAACTAAAATGCACCCTGAAAAATGGCTTGCATTTGAGGCACTAAAATGTTTTTTGGGCAGTGTCTGTGGGCCTTATTTAGTTAAGGTACGCCACTGGACTTAAGAGGAAAACAAGCTTTAACTTTAAACCATATTGAAAATTGCATTTTTTTTCCATATTGAAAATTGCATTTTTTTCTCCTAGATTTTTGTTTAAGTAAAATTTGTTTAAATTTAAAAATTTCCTTAATCCTCTTCAAGGTGACTGACTCAAGAGGAGTTACGTTTCCATGTGTTTTGTCCACAACTGACCAGGATCTTGTAAGAGCTGAGGCCTCGAAACTTCTTGCGAAAGAGTTAAAAAAGCTGAATATAACCTTTTTCGCACAAATAGATGCAAAAAAAACCTTTTCAGGTAAGACAAAGTGGTTGCTGGTTGTTTTTATTCATGAAAATAAGTAAATTTAAAAAAAAATTTTCAACCACTCATTTCTTTTACTTTTACAGATTAAGATCATTGTATATTTTGGGGTAGGCCTAAAGTTTTGGCTTGTGTTTTTGTATGTCAATACACAGTTTCTTTTTATGCTCACTTTTAGCATATCTTAAATTGCTGCTTTCCTGAGTTTAAATGAAATAAGAACAATGATTTTAAAAGATGCAGGTTACTAGAATAGTATCATTTCCTAAGTCTAAAAAGACATCCATAAATTGCCCATAAATCTCAACTGTATCTTTCAGAGTTTCTGTAAAATTTAATACTAATAGTTTCTTTCCAAATATTTTCAGATAGAGGATTATTTGGCACTGCTCTGCATGTAATGGCAGAGAAGGATCTCAATGCAGGTCTCATTTCTCCACAACTGCCAATCCCTTACATATTTCAATGGGTATATTTATTATTTATTTTGTTGAGAATTTAGATTCACTTTTCAACGTAAACTAATAAATGCCAAGAAAATTATTGAAATATAAGACAATACATTTTTGTTTCTTTTATTGTAGATACCGTATGTTCATTTACACCACATGTTCATTTCCATGGTCCATGTATTATTAATATTAAATTAGATCTGGCCATCTCTCAATAATGCCTAGAAACATTAGAGCTTCACAATGTAGTATGGTACCACGCTGTCACCAATAATTTTAATTAATTCTTTTCCTACTTCTTTCCGAAAGATGATGCGGTACATCTACGTCAATGCCAAGGAAGCTGAGGATATTTTTGAAAAGCCAGAAGCTTCAACCAAAGTTGCTGTACGAATAATTGTATTTGCCTTTAAGTCATTACAAAACTTGTTTGATCTGTAGCTTTTTTGTACAAGTCTGAACACAAAGATGTCACAATTGTGCCCCAATGAATTGTTTCTTCAAGTTGTTGGTCCTGTTGTTTGCATATTACCTTTAACATAACCTACAGGGCATTATGGGAAAACTGAACAATCCATCAGAGCTAGGGACTTGGAGGGAAAACTTAGCAATCTATCAGAGCTGGTGACTTGGATAGGGGAGGGGGTGGGAATTGAAAACACCATAACAGCTGGTGACTCAGAAAGAAAATTTACAATAAATCAGAGCTTTGGAATTGAAGACATTATGAGATTAATTTATGATAATTATTTATTATAAATTTGAATCTATTTCTTTAGAAATTAAAAGACGTGTTAAAGAGCAGATTTCCTGCTGACCCAAAGAACTTTAAGTTGGGCAATGAGTTCAATGTTTATGATGTTGCTGCTGCCCTGAAAGCTTTAATTGATGAGCTTGAACTTCCCCTCATTTCTTCAGATGGCTTTCCCAGTTTTCCAAATATACCCCAAGAGAGTGAGTAGTATATTTAGTTTTACCCCACGTATGATTTTGAAATGGGTGCTAATGATTTTTAAAATTTGATAAACAGAATGGAAGCAAAAAAAATTATTGTTAATTTAAATCTAAGGAATACAGGTAGACTCCAGGTGATCAACTTAAAAATACAAAATTTACTAAGCAGACCTTTAAAAAAAAAATTGGCAAGTTTTATTTGATTCTGTATTGTAAAGAAGCCAAATATAATGTTTTATTTTTTTTAAAAACTTACTTAAGCTTGTTAAAAAGTTTTGAAAAATGTGTCGGACAAATAAAACATGTACCCTTCAAAAAATGAAGATTGTCAAAATGTATGGTCATGTAATATTGTTTTTTTTATAAAAGATAAATGCTATCAATACGTTGTAATTAAAATGATCTTACAAGTTGATTTTTCTTTTCAGAACCTTCTTACCGCACAAATATAAGAGTGCTGCCTGTCTTTATAATGACCATGAGATCAGAACACAGAGACACATTGCAGGTAAATAAAAATATTATTTCTTAGCTGATTTCACATGAACACTTCCCTGATTTACATTCTGTTGTAACATTACTGTCCATTAATTTAATTTTGATGCTAGCTGTACTCCAGTTATTTTTTGGAAACACAGTTTCCATTCACATAGCATTCCATCATTCCGCCATTATTTTTTCCATCTCAAATATTTAATCAGGATGTGGTCATTTGGTGTTAGTTTTGTCCTTCTTGTTAAAGATTTTAAAAAAATACATTCATAGGCCTTATATGTTGCAGTTTAAATTTAAAACCTGAGAGTTAAAGGAATAAACAAATATTTCTTCGTCATAATGTCTCTGGTTTTTTGCTGGATTCAGAACAATTTTGTCAACTTTTCAGTTCCTATAAGGAAATAATTGAACACTTAAATATTGATATTTTAATTGGCCTCTTCTTTATTATTTTTTTTTTTTGCTTTTCCAATACAGCTATTGATCACCCTGTTTAATTCTACTAAGCCATACCGTCACAAGAATGAGACACTTAGTAAGATTTTTGGACCTCTTTTGTTCAAGAAGCCAATTGAAAATCCAAAAGTTGAACCTTGGTTTCACAAACTTACTCGCGATCTAATTACATCAAATGATGGAATGTTTGAAGTAAGTTAGTCTTAAGATCACATTTATATCTATGGATAGTAGATACTGTTAATACTCCTGTTAATGCTACCGTCAAATGATTTTTTTTGGGTGTGATAAAGTGCAGAAACCAATAACCTGGTGTTTATTACTTTAAACAGGAAACATGCTAGCATTATTGCAATTGATAACTCGCTCAGCGGTGGTATAGGAAGGGGAGGAAGGTGCAGTGGGTGACATCTATTTATTAATATTTATGGGTGTCATTTTCTGCAAATAGGCCTACCTATTTTTTATTTGTGGAGGAGGGGTTACAAAAATCTTGGCCCATCCCGGATGGTACAATCCTAGCTAAAGCACTGCTCCTCAGTCTTTGTTTTAAATGTTCTGGGTGTACTGTTAAAAGAAATGACACCTTCTGCTAAAAGTTTTTGATAATTTTTTCACTTCATTTTTTTTTTGGTAATTAAAAGAATAAAACATTTGGTGAGGACATTGCGTCTATTTTTGTCCACAGTTTATAGCAATCCCTGAATAAGGCCTAATAGCTTTACTTCAGAATGGGCCAATCCCTGAATAAGGCCTAATAGCTTTACTTCAGAATGGGCCAATCCCTGAATAAGGTCTAAAAGCTTTACTTCAGAATGGGCCAAGTCATCAATTTCATTAGATTAATTATTCTCTAATATGAATGACTTTATCTTTAGGTACCACAGTCAATAATGAAAGCAATCAGACGACATCGCACAGAAAATAAAATGGATGCCAAACCTATGAATTTTGTATGTAGGCTAAACATATTCTAAAAATTGTACAAATTTAAGCACAAATGCCAGCTTTTTTAAATAAACGGTGCATAAATAAGAAAACTTATGAATTCCTTATTATTTTCATTATAAAATATCTTATTTGTCAAGTTCGCCTGCAACATAATTTGGTGTTTTTGGTAATCATTTGAGTGATATTTCTAGAAGCCGTAAATAAAAATGAGGGACACCAATATGAAATGTATTGATGCCTTTTATTTTGACCAATTTTTATAAATTATAATTTTTCAACTGCTACTCTTAAGTAGATTTTAAACACAGTTGACTGAATACTTAACATTAACAAGCTCTATGTGATGGTTGGGTCTGGGGATTCCTCATCCTTTAAATAAAGTAGGCAAGAGCAAATTTGAGCATTCAATTCAATTTGTTGTAAAATCTTAAAAATAAAATAATATTTGTGATAACACCAGGAACGCCAGACCAACCTACCTCCACGAATGCTCATAGATATGAAAGGAAAATGCTTAGAAGTCTGCTTGGTATGTCATTGGGTTGATAAATTGTTTGATAACTTTCCAGGAACATAAACATCTTCCTCTCCGCCTTTATTAAAAGTAATATGTAACTTTTTGTAATAATATTCTTGCCTAGGCTTATTTATTATTACAGTAATTACTGTTACTTTATTATAAATTTGTCAATTTTGAAGTGTTATTCCTATAAATTTGCTCTTCTTATAATTTTATCAAGGCTGAACTGAGCAATGCTCAGATCCTAGTTAATGCCCCGTCACTACTCTGTTCTAAGAAAATTCCAGTTACATCTGAAACAACAGCTGAGGAAATAATATCCACAGTTAGTGAAGGCACTAGGTAAGCTATAACTTATCAAGACTGTAAGTGCATTCTGTTTGAAAATAAGGCTGATTCTTAACTGGGAGTAAAGGCTGATTATGAACTGGGAGTATAGGCTGATTAACTGGTAGTAGGGCCTATAGGCTGATTCTTAACTGGGAGCATAGGCTGATTCTTAACTGGGAGTATAGGCTGATTCTTAACTGGGAGTAAAGGCTGATTATTAACTGGGAGTATAGGCTGATTCTTAACTGGGCGTATAAGCTGATTCTTAACTGGGAGTATAGGCTGATTAACTGGGAGTAGGGCTATAGGCTGATTATTAACTGGGAGTAGGCCTATAGGCTGATTATTAACTGGGAGTATGGGCTGATTTTCAACTGACTATTAGGGCAATGTTTCGCCTCACTGAAGGATAAATTGTTTGGATGGACTTAGTTAGGAAGCCCTAACAATGGCTTAGAAATCATACATTTTTACTAATCTTAATAATATCTAGTCTGAACATTTCACAAGTATTGAAAGGGCACTAGGACAGAAAATTGAAATGGCACTAGGACAGAATATTGAAATGGCACTAAGACAGAATATTGAAATGCCACTAAGACAGAATATTGAAATGGCACTAAGACAGAATATTGAAATGACACTAAGACAGAATATTGAAATGGCACTAAGACAGAATATTGAAATGGCACTAAGACAGAATATTGAAATGACACTATGATAGAATATTGAAATGGCACTGGCACTGAACCAGAATATGATAGAATATTGAAATGGCACTAAGAAAGAATATTGAAATGGCACTAAGACAGAATATTGAAATGGCACTGAAACAGAATATTGAAATGGCACTGAAACAGAATATTGAAATGGCACTAAGACAGAATATTGAAATGGCACTGAAACAGAATATTGAAATGGCACTTAGACAGAATATTGAAATGGCACTTAGACAGAATATTGAAATGACAGTCAAAAGTAGAGAGCTGGTAATTGGGCATTTATTTTTCAATAAATTTGTTCACCCCAAAGTGTTTCCCATAGAGAGACAGGTAGAGGAGTTATTAAAGAGCCAAGACACTAAATGTATTTCATCATCTCATTAATATATGACAGCTGCAGTGAAAGGAAATAGGAAGTCCTTGCAATACTTGGAGGGAGACGTTTTTGAAGGGACCTGGATAAGCAAGTTAATTGGTAGCCAATCACACCAGGAGATGGGGAAATTAAGTGGTAGCCAATCGCACCAGGAGATGGGGAAATTAATTGGTAGCCAATCGCACCAGGAGATGGGGAAATTAAGTGGTAGCCAATCGCACCAGGAGATGGGGAAATTAATTGGTAGCCAATCACACCAGGAGATGAGGAAATTAAGTGGTAGCCAATCAAACCGAGACATAAGAAAGTTAATTTAATTGGTAGCCAGTCACACTGGGACATAAGAAGGTTAATTGGTAGCCAGTCACACTGGTATATAAGAAAGTAATTGGTAGCGAATTACACCAGGATATCAAAAAGTTAATTGGTAGCCAATCTCTCCTGGAGATAAGGAAGTTAATTGGTAGTTAACCACACAAGGAAATGAGGAAGTGAATTGGTAGCCAATCAGACTGGACAAATGGAATTTAATTGGTAGCAAATCACACCCGGACATCAGAAACTTAATTGGTAGCCAATCTCTCCTGGAGATAAGGAAGTTAATTGGTAGTTAACCACACAAGGAAATGAGGAAGTGAATTGGTAGCCAATCAGACTGGATAAATGGAACTTAATTGGTAGCCAATCTCACCGGGAGATAAGGAAGTTAATAGGTAGCCAACCAGCCCACCACACCCGGAGTTGAGAAAGTTAATTGGTAGCCAATCACTCCGGGACAAAAGGTAGTTAATTTAAGTCAATGAGAAGCGTACCATGGACATATGGCGCTACACCCTGGGCTATGCTTCTGTACTCAATTCACTATGCAGAGCAGGAAGAAAAAACAAGCCTATGATTAAGAGTCATTATATAAGAATGTGGAATAATTTAATGGGGGGCAACATTTTAATGGTTGATCTGGCAAGGGCCTAATTCATTTAATTATCTGCAGATCTGTAGGTCATTACATTAATGATTTCAAGGCAGAAGTGTTGACCCCAAAAGATCCAAAGGCCAATGACAGTGCGGATCCATTACACCTGTATGAAGTTGGTGGAAACATAGGTGAGCTTAAATAACTAGAAAATAGTAAAACTGCTTAAACGTTCCAAGCAGATAACATACTGACTACCAGGGTATTTTAGAGCACAGTAACAGCTCTTTTCAAGCTTGTTTGCTTCCTCTATGGATAATAGGAATAGTAATATTTAAAAGAAAATAAATCCTTTAAAGATCAAGTTGATAGGCCTATGTTAAACAAACATTTATCCTATTATGAATGTTGATTTGATTTAACTAACAAACATTGCTCTATTACAGATGAAAGGTGCCTGCACCCTATTACAAACATGCTTGAAGTTTACAAGGCAAATCCCAGTGCTGAGTTCTGGATCAAGACATGGCAGAAAAATGTACCAAAAGTAACAAGTTAGGTTTCCAATTGCAAAATAACTGACAAGATTGTGAATTTATCCCTGGTATTTTATTTTAACTTTCATTATCAAATTTTGAAGACTTAATGGAAAAGGCACCCAAATGACAGTACTAAGTTGTATTAGGGAAAGCCCCTTAACTGTCACTTCTAGGAAAGTCTCAACTGACACTCCTAGGGAATTCTCTCAACTAAAACCATCCATCAATGCTAAGTTGAAGAAATAAATGAAATGCCAACGAGAAATTAAATGTAACCTGTAATTTGTATTACTTAAAAAGATTTTAAAAATTTAATTAAAAAATACCACATTTTTTTTTACATTGTTTTGGCAGCATTTTTATGCTGGTAAGCCTAAATGAACACAATTTTTATTTTGTATTACAGAATAAAATATTTGAATTGGATTGTCATCACTTTAGATAAAAGAATTGCATATGAATATGAAAATATGTTTAGTAATTTTGACTTTAATAAATCTTGGTTTATTTAATATTGACTTCAAAATTCTTTAATTGTTAAACTATTATAAATTATTGGAACAATACTTCAAACTGGATATTAACCAAGGTCTGGGGAATTCATAAGTTATCACCAGAGCAATGTTTATTTTATAACCTATGGATTTAGTGTGCTTCATTTTGCCATATTACTATTATTACAAAACTAGTTGAGGACTCAATAGCTACAAAGAGTTACAGCCTGTTAATTTGATATAGAAAAATTCAATTGAACTGAATTTTGGATTGACCCAATGGTAATCAGTAATTTGAGTAAATATTTAAAATAGTGTACCCCAAGAACACTCAATCATTGGGTCAGGAGGTACCAAACATGGCTATTTTTTGCACAACTTGTGTGAAGATCTATCAACTGACCTATCCTGAGTCAGGAGGCTATGGCAATGTTGTAGATTATAATTTCTATTGGATAAAAATTATATGATTTGAGAATGAGAATTTTAAATATGACAAGACTAGATGAAAAAATTTGGTTGTTTAGATCTGCACTGTGAAAAAGTGTTCACTATAAAAAAAATCACAATCCAAGACCAACAAGCATTGAACAATACAAAGTTTATTAATTAATTCAACAAACAATACATATAAAGTGCTGCATGAATCAAATATTTGAGGAGAAACTTCATTTTGACAGAATCAGCCCCATTAATAGGTCTAAAAAAAACTACTTAAGGTAATCTTAGACCCAAAAATGGGTAATCTAGAGTAGAGTGGGCTCTGTGTTCCTGTTAAAAAATATGCACCATCTACAACCAACAAAGTAGTCTTCTATACAGCTTTAGTTTCAGAATAATAGATGTATAAAATAATCTTCACTAGCCTAATTTGAACAAATTTCTTTTTTAAAAAACATAAAACAAAGACATGAGAAATTATAACACTAAATAAATAAATAGTCCCACTTGGCAATTTCTCAGGTCAAATTCTGGCCCTCTCAGATATTGGCAAAATAAAGCATATCATCAAATATGACTGTTACTATGCACCAAATAAATGTTTGGGGAAAAATAAAATTGAATAGGGCTATATACCTAAACCTATCTTATGATAGTCTAAACACAACATGAACTAGGAAATAAATAAGTGCCAACATATGCATGCAGCCATAAATTCATCCCCATCCTAAACCTCCAGATTGGAAGAAATTTCTTGCAGACATCAAGTTATGAGATATCCAATGCAACCATCAATCTAAAAATCACTTGCAATAATTTACTGCTTGCATGAGAAAACTCATTTTAAACTTTAAGAGGGGATGGTTATGAGTGAACACAAATTAGGCATTCTTTATTTATGCAACTTTGAACTCTACAAAAGTAGAAGTAGACAAAGTATCTACAAATTAATTGAATGGAGGATGTGGGTAGATTATTTGCAGAGAATAAAATAAAAGCATTATCTCTATAAAGCAAAGCCCCTTCTTTATGCCTGCATGACTCAATATGTTGGTATAGGAAAAAATGTAAGTCCCAGCCAGCTAGTTACAAAAAGAGAAAACACAAACTTATCAAATGCAAAAAAAAAAAATCAAGGCGGTCTACGTGAAAATAAAAATTGTTATTTGACGTGTTCTTGACAGTGGCCACACAATCGAGCTGTGGATCTACGTGCATGCCTGCGATGATTTCATGAATATTTTATAAACAATTCAAAAAGGGGCATTTCTTTTTCGTTTCAGACAATTTTTGCATGTTTTCAGTTTCCAAGAAAATAACCAAATATTAACAATCTTGTGACCTCAGCAGAGAAAAGTTGATTTTAAAAAGACAAAAAGACTTAAAGAAATGAACAAGAGAAACATTTATCTTATAAAATATGATATGAACAAGATTTTGGTTTTTTAAAAAATTGCACAATTCACTATACATAACTGTACAAAAGAATAGCAGTGACCCCTCATACCAATCTAGAGAGACATTTGGAACATGAGAATTTGACAAAATATTTAACTTGAAATTAGTTCCAAATCTTTAAGTGCTTCATGCACATCTTTTGACTGTCAAATCTGTGTTCCAAAAGTGTCCTTAATTGATTCCAGGGGCCATAAGATATGACATCTCTAATCTTAATTTTATTGTTACATTAGGATTCAGAAAGAGAAAAAATAAATAAGCTTTTAAATCCTTAGTTCAACTATTGGCAGAAACACATTATGTCTATGATCACACTTCCTTATTAAAATGCATACCAAAATAATGATTAAAAAATAACAAGAAAGAAATCAATTCTTGCATACACCAATTCTTGAGACAGCAGTGTACTACAGAAATAACCTCTAAATATACCAAAAACCTTTTCTTTTTAAATTATTAAAAAAATGTATTTAAAAAAAAACAGATTTCAGTACCATATCTAACACAATAATTCAGTAAATTAGCAAGGTCCTTAAAAGAATGTACAAATAAAAATAATTTACCCTTTAAATTTCAGAGTTATTAGTCTACTGAGTCAATGGTTGGGAATACAAACAATGACCTTCTTTGGGTAGGATAGGTCAGCAGATTTGCTGATACAAGCTATAGCATATCTGATGACCAAAGGCTACCCCTTTTACACTTTCATAAACTAGAAAACTGTTCAAGAAATAACAAAGTGCTGCCTTGTTGTAAGTAGTCTACATTTTTACCTTGAAACAATCTCTCTTTGTAATTGAGGTGCTGCTGTAAGAAACCAGAGCGATCGCACAAGACTGTGGGTGTGGGGGGGACAGTAGCCAAGAGGTCCCTATAGAAATGTCAACCTTTCTGAATTAGCCCTTCATCTTAGTGGTATAAAAAAATTATAAACTCTCCGTGTGAAAATGACAACAATGTGATTAGTAGTAGTGGCGAGTGAGTAGCGTCTTTGTCTCTTTGTGAAAGCTGGGCAGGGTTAATCATTTTTTTTCTTCTCTTTGTACACAATCATTATAATCATTAAGAAAAAACACGAGAAACGTCAATTGAATTAACCACTGAATGAATACGTCATTTATAGCTTTATATTTACGAACAAAACAAACTCGAAGGGCTACCACCAATGTCCATGTCATTACAATTGTAGGTCTATGGCTAATTGGTCGGTCGCTTGCATCATCTCTTGTCCCCTCCGCCCATGGAAGGCGAGTGAGGACTACGGAAAATTACATTTCCGCGGCGGTTTGTGTCGACCTCAACAAACACACAAGAAAAATAAACAAGACGAGGTCATTTCTTGTCACACACCGCCAGAGATCCCCTTTCTCCTCTCCTCTCCTACCTGAAAAAGAAGAAAAAACTAATTTTATCAAATAGATAACTTTTTAAAGTCTTACAACTCACCAGATGTAATTCACTGCATATATAGTGCTCCAGTAAGCTTTCTAAATTTTGAAATATTAACATTTAACACTTTACGGTACAGAGCGGCCGAGAACGTCTTTACCACTTAAAGGGCAAAACGCCCAAAAGCGTCAGTGACGACATAGTGTTGTTTTCTCGTGGCCTCCGCGGCTTTGCGAGATTTCCTATTGTTTACATCTGGTTTTTCTTCTAATAGCTTAATAGAGAAGGCGCCAGTTACATGTATTTAATCAATTTTTTTTTGTAGTTTTAGGGATAAAAAAATTGTGTTTTTCTAAATGGATTTTGCCATTCAAGTGATAGGCAGAGATTTCGCTGGATTCATTTAAGAGCACGAATTGACTGTAAATTGGAACTAGATATTAATATTATTAGTAATATTAGTGAAATCAGCATAGTAAGCAGTGTTGAATATTACAAACTGCGATTTTGTGGCAGTGTTTGTAAATAGTAAATAGATGACTGAGGATTAATGGCAACATGCGAGTACAATTATAAATCTGCATTCATTTTCTTCTATTTTGCTTTTTATTTCGCAAAAATTTGTTAACACCTTAGATTTTATTTTTTTTGTAACGTAGCCCTAAATCTTACTAAAAACTGGAAAATTTTTGCCTGTTTAGAACATGCAAGAGGAAGTGCCACCGCCCCGTAAAGGGTTAACTAGTGCAGAAAGAAACAATGGATCTAATTAAGAATGAAATAGAAACAACTTTTTACCTATCTCCACCTTCTAGGGGTTCAGAAGAATGGTTATCTGTTTTCTCACTACGTGAGTCACCTCCTCTGCGACGAGGTGGGCGATCATTATTTGCCATCTCAACCTGGAGAAATTTTAGAAAATTGATTGCTATAGTCACATGCACACAAAAAAACACCAAATATGTAAAAATTCATGTTCACTCACCCACCTGCTTAAGGCAGAGCCACTATCACGTATGGTGCATGACCATGCATGCACTATCATGTATGATACATACCTTTACTTCCCTTCCATCTAGTTCTTTGCCTCCTAGAGCATCAACCGCTTCTTTAGCAGTGTCTGTCGTTTGAAAGTGAAGAAATGCAAAGCCACGGGCTCCGCGCCAAACTAAACGAAGAGGGTTCACATTCATGGAACGGAGCTCTGTCTTCAGTTCACTGACACGCAGACGACGAGAGAGTCCACCGACCCATACAATTGCATCTGGGTTGGTCCTGAACCTCTGGCGTTGGGGTCTACGACCTAATAGGAAGTTATGAAAGGAACAGATCTTAACCCTTACAGCATGAGGCCATTTGCAGTGACCTACTTTTTTTCCCTGTGACCAAAGTGTACCTTTTTTTTTTATAGGGTCCCACACAGAAGGGTATCCAATATAAACACAAAAACGAGGATATAACATTTTACCACAGTCTCGGACAGAATGTTAGGGGAATAGTCAAATTTGATTTTGCCTTTTGAATAATGAAAATCAACCATGAGTTTTTTGTGCTGATATGTATTTGTTGTTTCCATGTCGCTACCTAGCGATATTGGGGATGACTTATGAACCACTTAATGAAACCTTTTGTTTTTAAACTATTATTGAGATTAAATGATTCTGGTGCTGATGAGGATGAGGGGGGTGAAATTGCTGAAGTAGGTCTACCATAGCTCAAAATTTACAGGCGCCTGTAGGATTGACAGGTTTTAGACCAAGTGTCAACGTATAAATTTATTTAGATGATCAACTGGAGTAAAAGCGGCTGGGCAGTGTGCTGGCCACACAATCCCCTATTGTACCATTGCCAATGAAAAGTGTGAACAAAATACCTTAGTATTTTTAACACCCTCATCCAGTTCTGAACATGTTCTCTACATGTTATCCATTGCTTAAAACAAAAAAAGTTATAAAATAATCTGCAAACATATCAAATGTTGGCTTATTCTAAAAAATGTCAGGGCCACAGGGAATAATTAGCAAAATAATAGCTGTTACTTAGGCTATACATAGCAAAAAAAGTAGGTCAGTTCTAGAAGGGTTAATACATAAAAAAAATAAATTATAAATTATAAATTAAGGTTTTCAAAAAGTGCCACTTTCATTTGATCCATGTCCCCATATTAAAGAAACAACCTGGGTGCCAGTAAGGTGACAATTCAGAGGGTGCAAGGAACGGTTATTTTTTTAAAAAGAAAAGACTACAGGTAATGGACTAAAATTATGACACAAATATTTGCATATTTTTTTTAAACATTTCTTTATTAAACATTATGGTTTATGGATTAAGTCACCAGTTCATTTTCTAAGCTCTACAGTTCTTTCCTTAATTCAATTAACATAGAATATTTATTTTTCTATATTAAAATGCATTGTCACAATTCAAAGGGAATGCAGACCACTTAAGTTGGGAAACATAAAAATTAAAATTACCCATAAGCATCAATTTCTATTGGAGCAAAAATTTGAGACTTGTAAAATAATAATAGAGTAGTAATTGCACATCCCAAAAAAGGCGTTAGACCCAACTAAGAAACATACACACTACTACCTGAAAGGACTTGGTGAGAAAAAGAAGATAAATTTTTAAGCGTGCATCAGATAAATGGATCTTCAAAATATTTCAGAATTACGTCCCATATAAAATCATCATTTGCACTAATGGAAAAAATTAAGAACACAAATACCATCTTACCTTCACCATCTTCATCTCCTGAAGTCTTCTGCTCCCCATCACTCCCAGAGTGGTCCCCACCAGCCCTGTTATCTCTACGGCTGCCACCGTCATAACGACGCCTGCGCTGGAAGCGACGACGTTGTGGGTATCTGAATTCATAAAATAATGAGGTTGACAATGGAACACACATGGCAATTTAGCAGTAAATAAATCCAACAAAGAGCAAAAGACCTGAACAAATTACTACCTCCGTTGGCGGTTCTTGTCCTCCCCATCTCCCTGACCACCTTCACCACCACCATCACTGTGTTCAGACTCAGAAGCACGAGGTTTGCCCCCACGCCTAAATCTTCTGTTACGGTAATTTCTGCGTCTTCCTCGCCCATCATTGTCACCATCTGCTCCAGATTCATCTCCAGTCTCTACATTCTCTTTATTGCTGTCATCTCCCCCTTCTCTTCGTCGACCACCACCTCTCCTGAATCTAAATTTATAAATATAAACTTTTAATTACCTTATCATTTGGGTCAGGCACACTAAGAAATAACCGGTTTACTTCCATTACTTCTACAGGCAGATTTAATTAAATAGCATGAAGGAACAATCTTAGTCTGCTGTAAATTTTATTTGCTCAAACATAGGAAAGTTTGGCATGTGAATGTCATTAACCTTTCTAATTTTGTTCTAAAAATAAACCCATTTTGATGCATTCATTTGTTTGAATACTTGGATTGAAGCCATTATTTGTATAACAAACAAATTATGTTTAGCCAATTTGTGAAGCTATAATTTGTATCATATATATTATGTCATACCATTTCATCTAATTGTAACACGGTATAAAAAATAATTTATTACCGGATTGCTCTCAGTTGAGTTTAAAGAAATCACCAAACTCAAGATTTTTTAAATACTAAAATAAACATTTCAAACCAAGGTGAGATAACAAGATGATGCAGGCACAATTAAATCATTGTCTTCAACATTCACTTCAGAGAAATAAGTCTGCTATCTAAAATTTCAGGGTCAAGCAAATCTTATTAAATCAGCTTGTGCATCAGATAAATGAATCCTCAGATCAATCAGAATTACGTCCCATTTATCATCATCATTTGCACTAAGAAAAAAATAAATAACTCATTTCTAATAAATCTTAACCGAGAGCCACATCAGTACTAATATAAATACAAATGAAACTTTTTAAAGTAACAAAATGAAAACTTAATGACATAAATAAACCAAAGGTAAATTGAAAAGCTAAGTTATTCAAAAACACAATTACCTGTAAGGCCTTCCACGTCCTCTAAATCCTCCTCCCTGTGGATAACGTCTGTACCTACGGGGGCGAGGTGGTTCAGCATTCTCAAGGGGATCCTCTTCTTCATTCTCTTGTCCCTTTAGCAGAACAATTTTGCCATTTTCCCTTTCAATGTCTCTCAGTTGCTTCAGTACTGGGATCTATATCGAATAAAATACATAGCATTAGCCCTTACTACAAAGATATCTTTGTAGAAACACAGAATACCTTTGAAAATATATAATGTGGATGTTTAAATTTGATTTTGATTATATTTAAAGTAAATAAAAGACCAAGAGCTATGCAGAAAGTCAAGTGTGGTACCAACCTGAAAGAATTTGTTGACCTCCAGATGGTTCCAGATTACACCAGCTGGTTTAGGCCTATTGCAATTTGTCTCAATAAGCTCAGTTGGGGTCAAGATGAAGTCCACTGTCATGTCGTGTTCATCAACCTAGAATGTTTAAAAATTGAAAACTTGAAGTCTTACAATGCCTGAAGAGATTAACAAATATTTTAATTATTTCAAAAGCAATTTGTCCTTGTGACTTGCTAATAATGCATCAGATAAATGAATCAACAAAAATATTCAGAATTACGTCCCATTTATCATCATCACTTGCATTGTTAAAATTTAATATTAGCATATAACTTACCAATTCCTCCGGTATGTCCACAACCTGTGAGTCATGTACAGATGTGACCACAATAGTGCTGGCATCAATAGCTCCCATTGTTCTCATCATGGCATACTCCAGATCAGCAAAACCTTTCCCTTTGCCAATGCGGAATCCTACAATACAAAAAATTTTGATGCATCATTGCAGCCTACCCTCAAATTTTTTAATATGAAAAGATAAATTCTTTACACGACAACAATGCATCAGATAAATGATTCCTCACATATTCAGAATTACGTCCCATTTATCATCATCACCTGCATGACTTAAATAACTAAAACAATGTTAAATGAAAGTCATACCTTTCCTTGAGACTGCCACGCTTCCAACCACTACTAAGTCAATCTTGACCTTTTCTTCTAGTTCAATCTCTTTACTGTGTTCCTTTACACCCTTTAAATAAAATTACGCAAACGTTTAACTTTTGGATCTAACATCTCACAGATAAACAGGATTACACTTAAAAAGATTGACGAAAATTGTCAAATTAATTAAATATAAAAATTATATATAAAATATATAAATTATTAACCTGAGAGGTGCAGCAATGACGCAGCTTCTCCTTATCAGCACCTTCTGGAGGGATCACACGATTGAGGAGACCGGTACGAACTTGGGGAGGAGGTGATTGCAGATTTCTCTGTGTCTTTATAAACATGAAAACATTTATTTAACAAATGTGGCCGACGCCTATTTCAAACTTAAGAAAGTCTATGAAAACAATTTAAAAAACAATATATTTGAATATAATAGATAGGCCTATATAATTACACTAGGAAAATTTTTTTTAATTAAAAAAAAAAAAGCAACTAAGTTTCAAACAAATAGAAATAATATAATACCTGATTAAGAAGAACAAGTTCTTTTCCAGCCTAAATGCACAAATGAAAAAAAAAGTAATGGGTTGAAATACACTCACACTTAGATCATGGAACTACCAAAAAATCAGATTATCAGTCACTTTTCTCAAAACGTCTAATATTTAGATTGAAAAGTTAGTGTCAGCCATCTTCACAAGGCCATATGCAACTTTTAAATGTAACCTATACAGTTTTGTAGATAAAAATAAAAATCAATATACATCCTCCCATCCCACACAAATGAGGATGATTCCTATTCTAAATCCATCAGAATCAACTTATGGCAAAGACTTAAATAATGTATAACATGTCTACTCACGTCAACTAGCTATTTTCTTTATTACCTATAGCAGGAGTCAATCTAATCCATTGATCAGAACATCTCAAAATGTTCAGATTTTTTTCTCTTTATAAATGGTTCTTATATACTCATTTCAGTGAAGTGGGGTCCAAAGACCAGTTTAACAAAAAACCCACTCATTTCACTCACCTCAAGTACTAGAAACCTTGCCTGCTCCTGGGGCTTATCAGGATTCACCTTCACTGTTTTTGCCTTTTTAAATGCCTCTAGGGAAGTTAGTTTATCATTGGCAACTGCCGCATTCTGTGAAGAAAATAAGACAATGTGCCAATTTTAATAAACTATTAATATAATATCATATTTTTCTAATGTGAACAACAAAGAACTTTATGAAAATTCTAAAACATTCTTTCAACTGACCTCAAAATTGGGTATGCGGTAATGGCAGGGTCTGGGCATATTGACCTTGTTGTTGTCTTCCAGGTAGTCCCAAATCTTTCTTCGAATAGCCCATTTCCCAGTCTCTGAAAATCCACATTAAAAAGTTGATGTAAAAACTTGACCACAGCATATTTTTTTTTTAAAGTTAGCATTGGAAACAGTCTAATCAAATGTGTTAAATACAAACAAGCTCAGTCTAAGTGGAACAATTGTACTATTTTTTTCAAATACAACTTGAAGAAAAAATAATATACATTGACACCTACCATCTTCTGGGTGAATTTCCCGACGATATGGTCGCCTGCGCTGACGGTTACCCCTGTCCTTATCAGGGGACTCTTCTTCATCAGCAGTGGGTTTTACATTCTCAATCTTGGCCTCATCATCTGGGCCTTGAGCTGCAATAGCATTGTTATTCTCCATGCTTTATTTTCTAGTGTTTTTACTAGCCTCAGTGTGCGTCTCCACCAGTTGGAGAGATTTCTGGGCACTTCTTATCTGAAAGAAAGTGAGTAAACGTTTTTTTAAAAGTTTATTTCAAAAGAATTTTAAGAAAAAAGAATAATAAATGATAACTTTCCCTTAAATTATGGAAACCTAATTTGAAATCTAGCTGTGCCTAATTGTGTACAAAGGACACTTAATATGCCATTTCTTTAGAGTAGGCTATTTACTTCTGTTCCATTAATCCATTTATTATATAATAATATACAAATTTATTTTCATAACAGCATTTGTATCAAATCAAAAAGTTAACACCGAGCATTAAGTATGCACTGTTTGAGTTAGATTTAGTTAACATTTTTAACCTTATAACTTATTAAAAATTCAATGTCTTACATTCAAATTTACATCATTACCAACAATTTTTAATTCAGTTAAATTATCATATATTATATAATACACAAGTTTATTTTCTGCATTAAGTATGCACCGAGTTAGATTTAGTTTGTTAGCTTTATAATGCTCTTAATAATACAGACATAGTCAATGATATATAATAATACTCCTAATTCATACTTATTGATATGGAATTAGTAGGTATAACTAACTTTATATGACAAAAAAGCTATGACTTAGCAGAAAGTCTAATATAAAGCATTGTCTAGTGGACCAGTTTCCCAGTGCCATATTTATTAGCCTATATTTTTATGTGACCATAAATGTCAAAATATTTAATCAGTGATCAGCCAATTGGACGTTAATCTAATTTCTAATGCTAGCGTTAAATTAAAGCTTCAATAGGCCTAGAAGTTTTTAATATATATATTTAAGGCCTATTAAGAGCATAGCATTACATGAAGTATGACTATGACGGTGCATGTCATGTCTCACAATCTAAATTTTGAATGTGAAGAGTGATGGCTACTTTAACTTATTTTTCCAGTAATTTTTACTCATATTATTATAATTATGTGTTGTGAATATGAAGACCGGCAACATAAGGTGCAGACCAGTATTGGTCCACAGACCACCACTTCAAAATACACTAGACTAAAGGACATTTAATAGTTCTAAAACTGCATGTCAGAAATGGGTCGTGGCTGTAATAAATGTGTTGCAACACATACAAATCCGGAGAATATGAAACTACAGGATTTAGGAAGGACATATCTATTCTAGTCAATCTCAATGTATGGCAATTGTTTAAGGCCCCAGGGACATGTTTTCATGAAAATTTGGCAAGCAGGAAATTTTGAAATTTATGTTCCACTTAATTAACTCTTAAAAGTCTGACACGCCAGTCTACCTGGCTTTCCGCCAGTTAAGTTTTGACGCAAGCCAGTCTATGTGGCGTTTCATAGTGACTCGTAATTTTGGGATTTGATATAAATATTTCTGTACTTGGTCCAAATCAATATTTCCATGTCCTCTTCCTGTGTTTACATTTTTCAAAGTGTAAGGAATTTGTTTTTTATCGCAATTTTACTAGAAAAGTTAATACCGTTATGAAATATTGTCTGTGGTCAACTAACTAGGGTCAAATTTTATCACAAAAGTGGATTTGACCTACGGACACTGAGATTTAGGCCAAAAGTCAGTTTTTAGGGGATTCATAAATCAGGATCACTCTCCCCACATCCTCAAAAAATTTAAGCCACCCACATAATACTTCATCACAAATTCATGGCCACTTCCTTACATTACTATTACATTACATGTTTGACATTCATAGATGGCCCTTTAGTTCAGTTAGGGAAATCAGAATAGCTTTTCTGAAAGGAGTAAGTTCAGGAAGGCCTAACAAAACAAAAGATGGCTTTTTTAGGAGAGGGACAGTTTTATCATTGATGCTTAATTCGATTTGAAGAAAGAAAAAGAATCATGGTCTGACATGGTTGAAAATAGACAAAGCCCAAAATATAAATGTTAATGTATTGGAACCTAGATATCAGTGGCATAGATAGGGATTTTGGGGCCCAGGGGGCTTGGCCTCTTTAGGGGCCCCTGTATTTTGACATTCATTATTAATGTACAAAAAAAAATTCGGACACTCCTTTGGGGGCTCCCCTCAAGTAGGGGACCGGGGGGGGGGGGGGAATTTTCAATTTTGGACCCCCCCCCCCCCCCCCCCCCCTGCTAGATATGAAACTATAAAATGCTACTCCCTTCGGCCAATTAGGATTTTGCGTAGTTCCATGGCCAACATTCTTGGACTTTCAATAAATTCAGTGATTTTTCCTGACTGAAAATGTGTAACTAACAGAAAAACTACCCAAAACTCAACATTGTGCATAAGCAACTTTTACATTCATATCAAATTTTAATATCTAGATTGTCTTGAGTGGTTCCACACTCACGTTTCATTTTCTTTCTTTTTTTTAATTGCTTCTGTGCGTTTTTACTGGCAAGCACGATGTTGTGCAATCATCGTACTCCTCGTACTTCTTGAACTAACAAAGACATGAGTCATATAGCACCCAAATCTCTAAAAGTTCATATAAAAGCAAACTAATGGCTAAGTACATAAAATGTATATAAAATAATACGAAAATAATAATATCATGTGTAAATGTATGTATTCTAAAGTCTTACTTAGCGTGGAGAAGTGACTTGACGGTCGCGGCCACGTTAGTAAGTTTGCCTTTTAAAAAAGAAGGAATAATCGGAACAACGAGTACAGCAGAAAACGAAAAACGAAATAAATGTGCAGCTAAAAAGTAGTTTTAAGAAAAGCAGCGGCCAGTGAAATTTTTTTCCACAAGAACTGCGTTTAGCATGGATAAAAATGAATATCAATAATGCGTTAAGTTAAATATCTTTTTGATAAACAGTTTTAAATTTGAAAGATTCCTCGCACAATTTACCCGTCCCAAACAAAAAATGGTCTAGTAGTACTGGTAGTCACGTACAGACAGGAAACATGTAGGCTATGTATCTAATCATTTTCACATGACTCGTATGTTAGAAGCAAACATATTTCAATAACTTTTAAACTATACCATGATAAAAAAAATAATAATTTGAAAATATTTAACACGAGTCTTTAAAAATATAACCTGACCATTTGGCCCTTACACATACTATTGAATGCAACAAATGCCAATAATTTGCCATATACATACGCTTTGATGAAATTGCCGTAATCTTGAGAAATTCACATACTATGTCTGAATTAATCACAAAGTCTCATAAATTTTCAGGTTATAGTGTAATAAATTAAAGTTGGAATAACTAGTGTTATTTTAAAGCTCCTACACAAACGTATGAAAGCCATGTTGAAACCGAGATAAGCATCGGGCGGCAAAGATTATCAATATGACAATATGTACATAACTTAATATGGAGCACCACATTTTTGAAGAGTATGATAGGCCTGGTTTGAACGCGTAGACATTGGAATAAGATGACCATTTAATTTTATTCCAACTCAATAGTATTTACATAATCTTGTGTAACTGAAGTCAAAAAGAAGACATTTTTTTAAGGCCACAGATTTTTCTTAAGACTGATACTTCCCTCAGTTGCGACTCAACTTAATTAAAATTAAATTCCATGGACTCGTGTGAGTATTTTAAAATAAAGCTTAAGTAAGTTGTATAAAGGAGAAAGTAAACGATACCTTATCCAATTTGATTCTCTCCCAGGTTTATCACACTCTGACTTTCCGGTACACCATATGCGGCATAACCTGCTAACGATAGCTTAGAGGCTTCAGAGAAAGGCTTGGGGACAACGTACTGTATTAGGCTTGTGCAGTTTCAAGGGAGGAGCAAAGATGCACTCATTTAAACGATAATAGGAACTTTTGGCAAACATACAAGAGGTCCCTTACCGTTGACGTGTCCTTCACTGTACACAAATCATTCCATCAAACCGTGACGTGGCTTTCGTATCTAGGGTAGTTGACGTCAATGAGGTGCATCCCGTGTCCAGCACGAATGCTTCTAATTTAACAACTAGCATTCCTCATTGTTTATGTTTGGTGTGCAACTCACGTTGGTCTATAGTTGGTGTGCAATAATTTAAAGAATTTCAACATAGGCTACATCGGTGGTGTATATCTAGAAACGAGATGACGAGATATTTGCCTATCACAAGGGTCGGAAACCTTTCAGTAATATTGTGAGTAAGCTTGATTTCTTGTGCTTTCAGCGTGTCAAAAATCTATAAGTCTTAGTCTATCTTATAAGACGCATTTTTGAATCACTATTTTTTTAATCTTCCTTGTATCATTGAAAATCGCTTTACGTTCCAGTTCTGGCAACAATGCCGTACGTTGCAGACTTCTGTCTTATCATGTTTGAATGAAGACAAAAGACAATATAAATTTTAAAAATCTTCCTTTACACTGTTTGGAAGAGGATAATTTTAGAAATTGGTCCAATAACACCTAAATTGAGAAAGGCAATCATTTTTAATTGATCGAAATCCGACAATTATTCTTTAAGTATAAGCTCGGCCTTGCTTTCTAGAGATAAGCCGAGAGCTAGTGCTCACCATGGATCAACTGTAGAAATTCCCAATGGATTCTCAACGGCTCTCAATTTCATTACTAAATGATACATCTCGTAAACTCGTCTGATCAGTGCATATCAGTGCCGCGAGATGAACATTTACCATACCCATAGCAGTCTCCTTCATTTACGACTACAAATCTTTGCATGGATATGTGTAGACCAGAGCTGCTCAACGGTTGTGCTGTGCAGGAGGAGGGAATACACCAAGCTATCAAACAACGACTTATGTTATCCTATAAATACCAAGCTATCAAACAGGGACATTGGTTATCCTACAAATGTCAAGCTATCAAACAAGGAGATTGGCTGTCCTATAGATATATAAATGCCAATCTATCAAATAGGGACATTGGTTATCATATAAAAGTCAAACTATCAAACAAGCACATTGGCTATCCTATAAATACCAAGCGATCAAACAATGCGATAACATCAATGTGTCTAACAGAGGCAACGTAATTAAATAGTGGATCACTGTTTGTAAAAAAACAGGACAAATGCTAGGACGTATTTCGGCTAAATGCCTTCTTCGGCAGACAATGCAAAACAAGAAACAACGAATAGAAATTAAAACATTATGTGTTCAAATTTTCGGATCAAAATGTAGTTCTCTCTGTCTCTGTTTGTGTTCAAACATTCGGGTCAAAATGTAGTTCTCTCTGCCTGTTTGTGTTCAAAGATTCTAGTCAAAATGAAGTTCTCTCTGTCTCTGTTTGGCCGAAACGTATGTTTTTACACTTTATTTACATTACTCGACTTGAACGCAGTTCCTCATATCACATCCTAAAAAGTACAGTTAATATAGACTAATTTAGAGGCATGCAATGTAATCTGGTACCTTTTAGCATTACCTGCCTCTTTCATTTTAACTATATGTGTGCAGTGCTTATGTATATTTTTTCATGTTTTTACTTGTGGCGTGCCTCGGAATTCTTAGAACAGTGGTTCTCAACCTTCCTAATGCCACGACCCTTTAATACAGTTTCTAATGTTGTTGTTACCCCCAACCATAAAATTATTTTCGTTGCTACTTCATAAATATGTGTTTTCCAAAGGTCTTAGGCGACCCCAGTATAAGGGTCGTTCGACCCCCCATAGGGATCGCGACCCACAGGTTGAGAACCGCTGTCTTAGAAAGTCCCAGTGTGTGCCGCGGGTGAAAAAGGGTGGCATAGCTCTGGTCTCAAATGTATGTTTGTTTGTTTGTTTTGTTGTTGTTTGTTTTTTGTTTTTTTTTTGGTGTTCGTGGCCCATTTCTTCTTCTTTTTTTTTTTTAAATGCTATTTTAAAATATATAAAATCAGGATGGGTCTCAAGACTTCCCATATGGGCCTCAAGATTTCACCATATTATGGGCTTCTAAATTTCACCAGGTGCTTCTTCCTCCTACAGTCCGCCTACACTAAAACTGCTTACATTACAACCCTGCCTACAACATATAAACATGAGTGCAAATCAATGTTCTGCCCCACCTATTTCTTCCCTCCCAGGCGAAGATTGTGCCAAAGGCGACTGCACTGAATGAGACGGAGTTCCACTGAATGACAAGTTTGAACTAGAAGTTGATTGGATACTAGTCTAGATCCCCACATGGAGTTGCGAGCAAAGCGTTTTACTACCTGGGTTCGTGAACTTTTACCGATCTTTTATGGTGCAGTCAAGGTCACGCCACTCAACTTCCGGTGCTTTCTTACCTTCTAGGCTGGAATAATTTTTGTGAGAAGGAAATAACAAATGTAGAGTCTCTCTTTGTGTAGCCTACATAATATATTTATTTGCTAAAATACTAGACTATACGAAAAATATGAAAGGTTCCATACTTTCTGATAACAAAACCACTATAAAAGACTAGGACTTAACCCAGTGCTGTTTTTTGAAGTCCAGGTATTTTGAGAAGATACTTGGTGGGTCAAAGTATTACAAAAACGTCTCTTTTTCTATGACATAATAATGCTATTATTAGGTGTTTTTACATAGCGCAGTACCCCAGCCTAAGGCTAGGCTCACTGCGCTTTACATAAAAATTAGCAATTACATAAACGTATACCGGTACATTAAAAAAAACAATTGGGGAAAAGCTTGATCTCACCCACCCAAGTACTATGCACACCTCTCCAGCTATGGACAGAACCCAGCAGAATCGAGCGTTGTTTATCAATCAGAGAAGGGTGAGAATGAGTCGGTAAAAAAAAACAGTTTGACGAGATGGGGCTTGCGGGCAATAGGTCTACAGACGGCCTTACGCCCTACCGGCATCGCCGGCCGTTAAACAATAGTCCTACGTACAGTCCTTCAGACAGTTCCACAGAAAGTCCTACACCATGCATATGACACTTAATCGATTAATATAATAGTCACCTCCCTTAAAGGAAAAAATTAACCTATTTGCCGGAGTTCAACCGTCACGCAAGAAGCATTTTTTTCACTCAGTACTAATAATATAAAACGTGATGCTTTTTATATTTTTTTTAACATGGGGGGGGGGGGTGTTTGCGGTTTTAAAGAGAAAGAAGGACTCACCAGAAGCAAACTATGTATGAAATAAACGCACTCCAGGAGTATAAAGTATCGGATTATGTTCAGGTTAGAATGAGTGTGGGAATTCATTGCTTTAATAGCCTTTAAAGATTGTTGTACCGGTACTTAATAAAGCGTTACAGTCAGAGGCGTACCTAGGGGGTTCCGGTCGCGAATGTAACTAAAATTTATTTTAGATTAAAAAGAAAAAAAAAAGATATTGTCCCCACTAAAAAAATGTGTAGCCTGGGATGGGCACTTTGAGATTCCTCATATGGCTCTTTGAGATTCCTCATACGGCTCTTTGAGATTCCTAATATTGCTCTTTGAGATTCCTCATATGGCTCTTTGAGATTCCTCATACGACACTTTGAGATTCCTCATACGGCACTTTGAGATTCCTCATTCGGCACTTTGAGATTCCTAATATTGCTCTTTGAGATTCCTCATACAGCACTTTGAGATTCCTCATACGGCACTTTGAGATTCCTCATACGGCACTTGGAGATTCCTAAAATTGCTCTTTGAGATTCACTATAACAAAAAAATGTCCGGGGGAGGATCGCCGCCTCTGACCGTGTACGGGCTGTGACTCAAACACTTCACAATCACGACATGTTTTTCCAACCAGTTGAACATTGATTGTTGATGACCAGGGGGTTTTAAGGATTTGTACAAGTTGAATTGCCCACACATCGAGCCGTAGTAGGTGGTGCCCTAAATCGAGTGATGTCAAGGTTGTAGTAGGTGGTGCCCTAAATAGAGCGATGTTACGTTTGTAGAAGGTGGTGCCCTAAATCGAGTGATGTCACGGTTGTACTAGGTGGTGCCCTAAATAGAGCGATGTTACGTTTGTAGAAGCTGGTGCCCTAAATCGAGTGATGTCACGGTTGTAGTAGGTGGTGCCCTAAATAGAGCGATGTTATGTTTGTAGAAGGTGGTGCCCTAAATCGAGTGATGTCACGGTTGTAGTAGGTGGTACCCTAAATAGAGCGATGTTACGTTTGTAGAAGGTGGTGCCTCAAATAGAGCGATGTTACGTTTGTAGAAGGGGATGCCCTAAATAGAGCAATGTCATGGCTGTAGAAGGTAATGCCTCAAATAGAAAAGTGTCCCAGGTGTAGAAGGATGTGCCCCAAATAGAGCGATGTCACGGCTATGGAGTGGCCCCAACTAGAGCAATGTCACGGCTGTAGAATGGCCCCAACTAGAGCAATGTCACGGCTGTAGAATGGCCCCAACTAGAGCAATGTCACGGCTGTAGAAGCTGATGATCTGCTGATGGGTAAATAACTCTCGTTTATCAACCATTGTCATAGCAGAGCTACGATAAGGGAAGCAGAGATAACTAGGTAAATAAAACCAGAGGTCATCGTAAGAACGTGGCACACCATGAGGTCATCTCGTCTCAAGCAGACAGGAACAGCGGCGGATTTCTCAATGCAAATGGGGAGGGGATTCAAGTTAAATGAAAATGTATGTGAAGTGTCTACCTGCGCTTTGCCCCGCCCCACCTTACCCCACCCCGGAAAGCTTTAAGTTACATTTGAACACATTGAAGTTACGTTTCTTCTTATTTAAAGATCGTTCATCATGTTTGGAGGGAATCTGTGGCTCTTTGAGCTTCCTACTACGGCTCTTTGAGCTTCCTACAACGGCACTTTGAGCTTCCTCGTGTGTCTATTTGAGCTTCTGCATACGTCTTTTAGCTTCCTACTACTGCTCTTTGAGTTTCCTCATACGTCTCTTTGAGATTCCTCATATGTATCTTTATGCTTCCTCATACGTCTCTTTGAGTTTCCTCATATTATCTTTGAGATTCCTCACACGTCTCTTTGAGATTCCTCATACGGCACTTTGAGATTCCTCACACGTCTCTTTGAGATTCCTCACACGTCTCTTTGATATTCCTTATACGTACCTTTGAGCTTCCTCATACGTCTCTTTGAGTTTCCTCATATTATCTTTGAGATTCC